GGAAATTTATATCGCCAAACTTTCATCAATAAAAGAGATAAAGAGTAGCTCAACAAGAGTGCATGCAACTGAAAAACAAAACTAGAAAGCCAACAAATTTAAAACCCCCAATTAAATATAAAAATAAGAGTCCTGAAAAATCAAAGGAGAGATTAACAAAAATGAAAGTAAAAAACCAAAAAAAACAAAAACCACAACACATTGAATTAATAAACTATGAGCTTTTTTTGGGGGGGGGGGAGTGGGAAGGAATAAAATAGATAAGCCATTAGCTAATTTGACTAAGAAAAAGAAGTAAAAGGAAGAAGTAAAACCGAAGTACCAATGAAAAAGATGAATTTACAACCAACGTAGAAGAAATAAAAAGCAATTATTATTTTTGAATATTTTATTTTTTCTCAATTACATGTAAAAACAATTTTTAACACTTATTTTTTAAAATGCTGAGTTCCAAATTCTCCCCCATCTATTCCCCCTCCCTGGGATTGTAAGCAATTTGATATAGGTTATACATGTGCAATCAAGAAAAATATATTTCCACATTAGTTGCATCGAAAAAACCCACAAAAAAATAAAGTGGGAAAATAGCTTCAATCTGCATTCAGACTCCATCAGTTCTTTCTCTAGAGGTGGATAGCTTTTTTCATCACAAGTCTTTTGGAATTGTCTTGGATCATTGTATTGCTGAGGATAGCTAATTCATTCATAGTTGATCATCATACAATATTGCTGTTACTGTGTACAATGTTCTCCTGGTTCTGCTCATGTCACTTTGTGTCAGTTCATGTAAGTCTTTCCAGGTTTTTCTGCAATCCTGCTCATTATTTCTTATAGCACAATAGTATTCCATTACAATCATATACCACAACTTGTTCAGCCATTCCCCAATTGATTCCAATTCTTTGCCACCACAAAAAGAACTAATATAAATATTTTGTATAAATAAATCCTTTTCCGTTTTCTTTGATTTCTTTGGGGTACAGACCTAGTAGTGGTATTGCTGTGTCAAAAGATATGCATGGTTTTATAGCCCTTTGGACATAGTTCCAAATTGTTCTCCAGAATGATCGGATCAGTTCACAACTCCACCAACAGTACATTAGTGTCCCAATTTTCCCATACCTCCTCCAACATTTATCATTTTCCTTTTCTGTCATATTAGCCAATGTGATGGGTGTGAGGTGATACGTATGTGCGTCAGAGTTGTTTTAACTTGCATTTCTCTGATCAATAGTGATTTAGAGCATCCTTTCAAATGACTATAGATAACTTTGATTTCTTCTTCTGAAAACTGAAATAAAAGCAATTATTGAGAGCTATTTTCCTGAACTGTACGTCATTAAAATGGACAATCTAAATGAAATGGATATGAATATTTACAAAAATACAAATCATTCACTTTAACAGAATAGGAAATGGAATATTTAAATAATCCTACCTTAGAAAAAGAAATTGAAGAAGCCATAAATGAACTCCCAAAGAAAAAAAAGCCATCAGAACCAGACAGATTTACAAGCGAATTCTGCCAAACATTTAAAAAACAATTGCAATACAATATAAGCAGTTTGGAAAAATAGCTAAAGAAGGGATGCTACTGAATTCCTTTATTCTATGACACAAAATATGGTCTTGATGCCTTAATCAGGGAGAGTCAAAACCTATTGACCAATTTTTTTTAAGGTAATTGGGGTTAAGTGACTTGCCCAGGGTCACACAGCTAGTAAGTGTCAAGTGTTTGGTCTAAGGTCGGATTTGAACTCAGGTCCTCCTGACTTCAGGGCCGGTGCTCTATCTACTGCACCACCTAGCTGCCCCTACCAATTTCTTTAATGAATATTGATGCAACAGTTTCAAATAAAATATTAGCAAGTAAACTGCAGCAATATTAAGTTCATAGACTGTGACCAGGCTGAATTTATTCCAGGAATACAAGGGTGGTTTGATGTTAGGAAAACATAAATACAGTTGATCATATTAAAAACAAAACCAACAAAAATCAAATGATCATTTCAATAGATGTAGAAAGAGCTTTTGACAAAATACAGCACCAATTCATATTAAAAACACTAGAAAGTAAAGGAGCTTTCTTTAAAATGGTGAGTAGTATTTATCTAAAACTAAGAATAAGTATTATCAGTAATAAGAATAAGCTAGAAGCTTTTCCTAGAAGATCCAGGGTGAAGCAAGGATGTCTGTTATCACCATTACTATTCAATATTGTACTAGAAATGCTAGCTTAAGCAATAAGACAAGAAAAAGAAAATGAAGGAATAAGTATGGACAAAAAAGAATCAAAACTATTGCTTTTTTGCAGACGATGTGCTGGTTTATTTAGAGAACTCTAGAGAGTCAACTAAAAAACTAGTTGAAATGATGAACAACTGCAGCAAAGTTGCAGGATAAAAAATAAATCTACACGAATCATCAGCATTTCTATGTTATCAACAAAACCTACCAGGTAGAGAAAGAAAGAGAAATTCCATTTAAAATGACTGCAGATAGTATAAAATACTTGGGAGTCTACCTGCCAAGGCACATAGGAACTGTATACAGAAGCACAGTTACAAGACACTCTTCACACAAATAATGACACATTTAAGTAATTGGAGAAATTGTTGTTCATCCTTCATTTTTGAAGAGGACCAGTGATATCTTTGGGTGATGTCTTGGCTCACTTGTGAATTGGATTTGAGTGAAGCAGACAAGACAAAAATCAAGATGATTGGTGATGACCTTGGTGTCCTCAATATTTGACCAAGCTCTAAGCACACCGCAGTGCCTGCTTCAGTGGCCTTTGGGGCTTTTGGAACAGATTGTTCTCATCCACCCACTTCATCTGGGGAAGTCTTCACATGCTTGAGGTAGACATTCCTCCAACTTACTGACCAATTTGAGATCTATCACTTACCCTTATTCTGGGTTAGCCTATCTGCCAAAACGGTTTTGCTGGGCTGTGGCCATCGCACATGCTATAGCTCCTTGGAGCCACAGGTGAGAGCTGAGTGAAAGATGGACACTAAAGGTGGATGAGCATCCATGAAAAGGGCTTGGCAAGTTGTCACACAAGAGGTGCTAGTCCTCCATACACCCCAACTGGAGAAATATTAATCACTCATGGGTAGGCGAAGCCAATGTCATAAAAATGGCAACACCATCTGAATTAATTTACTTCTTCACTTTCATACCGATTAAACTACCAAAGAATTACTTTATAGAGCTAGAAAAAATAAGAAAATTCATCTCTAGGAACTAAAAGGTCAAGAATGTCAAAGGAATCAATGAAAAAAGAGAAGGAAAGAGGTGTTGGCAGTACCAGATTTCAAACTATACTACAAAGCTGGAATCATCAAAACAATTTAGTGCTAGATAAGAAAACAGGCTGATCAATGGAATAGATTAGGTATACAACAGAAGTAGGTGAACAAAGTTACCTGGCGTTCAATATACTCAAAGATCCAAGCTATGGGGTCATAAATGTGTTATTCAACAAAAAGTGTTGGAAGAACTGAAAAGCAATTTGATAGAAACTAGGTATAGACCAGCATCTCGTACTGTAATACCAAGATAAGCTCCAAATAATACATGATTTAGCATAATCAAACTAGTAGAACATGATAGAAATTGACTATCAAATCTATGGCTAGGGGAAGAATTCATGACCAAACAAGAGGTAGGTTCACAGGAGGTAAAATGGATAATTTTGATATCATAAAATTAAAAGGTTCTTGCCCAAACAAAGCCAATGCAGCTAAAATTAGAAGAAAGTAGGAAACTGCAGGGAAAAGTCTGTGCAGCAAGTTTCTCTGATACAGGTCTCATTTTTAAGATATATAGGAAACTGAGTCAAATTTACAAGAATAAGTTGTTCCCTAATTGATAAATCATAAAGCTGTATGAGTAGTCAGTTTTCAGGGGGAGAATTCAAAGCTGTCAATAGTCATATGAAAAAATGCTGTAAATCACTAATAATTAGACAAATGCAAATTAAAACAGCTCTGAGGTACCATCTCACTCCCATCAGCATGGCTAAGATGACAGAAAAGGAAAATGATGTGCTGGAGGGGCTGTGAGAAAACAGGTACATTAATCCACTATTGGTGAAACTGAATTGGTCTAACCATTCTGGAGAGCAGTTTAGAACTATGCCCAACAAGCTATTAAAATGTACATATCCTTTGTTCTGGTGTTGCTGCTACTAGACGTATACATCAAAGAGATCAAAGAAAGAGGAAAAAGACCCATGCGTACAAACGTTTATAGCAGAATTGTTTGTGATGGCAAAGAATTGGAAACTTAGGGGATGTCCATCAATTGGGAGATGGCTGAATAAATTATGATTTATGATAGTGATGGAATACTATTATGCTGTAAGAAATCACGAAGGGGATGGTTTCAGAAAAACCTAGGAAGACTTGTATGAACTGATGCAGAGTGAAATGAGCAGAACCAGGAAAACAATGTATGCAATAATAGCATTACTATAAAAGGTAATTAACTGAAAGACTTAGTGACTCTGATCAACACGATGATCAACCACAATTCCAGAGGCCTCATGACAAAACATGCGTTCTCTCCTCAGAGAGCTGATGGACTCAGAGTGCAGACTGAGGCATATTTTCTCCTCTCTCTCTCTTCTTTCTCTCTTGGATATGGCTAACACAGGAATTTGCTTTGCGTGACTACAAATATTTGTAATGGGTTTTATTTTTTGCCCTCGTTTGGAGGAGGAGGGAGAAGGAGGAACTGAAAATAAAATAAGAATTGAATTTTTAAAAATGTTGAAGGAAGCTTATATTTTAATGATTGAATACAAAGTAGCAATTTTGATATTTGATGGTCAAGGTGAAAATTATGTGGGATTTTGGCAATTGTGATTTGTATGTGTATGATTTTGTTTTTAAGTGAACCTAATAGATTAGTGCACTTTACAGTAAAGAAAAAGTCTCTTAACTTTTGTGTCAACCAATTAAATATTGTTCTTCTGTTTCCTTGCATTTTAGCCCTGGTGGCAGTTGATGCCTTGGAGAAATCCATGGCGAACCCAGCTGTACAAGAAGAAGAGATGATTAAAGAAGAAAACTCAACAGCTGCTTTTCTCAGTCTAGCAGCCCAGTTTGCTTTAGAGGTAATACATATATCTGCTTTAGTTTTTCTCTCCAAGATTGAAAAAGAAATAGTACAGCCATCTTGCAATTGAGTAGCCATTTCTTTACAGAATTTGTTCTAAGTACAGAGCACTGTGCTAAGTGCTGGTGGACATATAAAAAGGAATAAGCCATGGCCTCTGCTATCACAGAGCCTGCTATATCTGCATCAGTGAATGAATGAACTTAGGAACTTGTTCTGTACAAAATGGTGGTCCAACCCTCCACTTTTCAATTCTTTGCCACCACAAAAAAAGAGCTGCTCTAAATATTTTTGTAAATATGAGTCCTTTACCTCTTTCTTTGATCTCCTAGGGGTTGAAACCTAGCAGCAGGATCACTAGGTCAAAGTATATGCTCAATGCAGTAATTTTAGGGCCATAGACCCTCCCAAGTTTTCCAGAATGGCTAAATCAATTCACAGCTCTACTACCAGCACATTAATGCACCCATTTTCCTCCAGCTGCGTTTGTCATTTTCCTCTTTTGTCAGTTTTGCCAATCTGAGGAGTGGGAGGTGGTACCTCAGAGTTGTTTTATTTTGCATTTCACTGATTGATAGTGACTTGGAGCGGTTTTTCACATGGGTATAGATAGCTTGGCTTTCTTCCTTTAAGACCTACTTCTTCATGGCTTTTTTGACCAATCATCAATTGGGGAAACACTATCTTTTAAAGAAGTTCCAAGTTGAAATGCAAATGCCTGTCATCTGGTTCAGTTCGAGACTCATTCCTGCCCATCACTTTCAACAAAGTCGTTTAGTCTGAGATCCTCACTAAGCTTGTTTAGCTCCTCTACCAGTCGGACCCAGGAAGCACAAATGCCTGCAGTCCTCTGCTTCTGACTGCTTTCTCTTCCACGAAGGGAGAGCAGGGTTACATAGACTTATGCCACTGATAGTCACTCCCCTTTCCATCCTGTTGACCTGTTGAGTGAGCTTTATTTTTGGTCCCAACTCTGTGTGTGTGTGTGTGTGTGTGTGTGTGTGTGTATGTGTGTATATTCTTCCTTCCTTTAACCAGTTCAGAAGAGAGAGAAGTTCATCAGCTCCCCACCCCTTCCCTATTTGTATAGAAGTCTACTTGTGCACCTCGATTGTGAGATCATTTTCCCTAACTTTACTTTCCCTTCCCTCCCCACCCCAGTGCATGTCTGTATCAGCACCGGAAGTTCTCCTGCCTCTTGGCTCTGCCCCTAACCCACTCCAGTCCATCACTTCCTTACTGAAACATTGTTAATAGACCCCTAGTGTTTAGAGGATTCAATCTAAGTCTTTTAGCTTGGCAGTCAAGGCCCTCCACAATCTAGTCTTCACCTGTTTCTCCAGCTTCATCTCCTACCTCACCTTAATTCTGTATATAGTCCACTTCTTGTCTCATATCCCAAATGCACCATGCATATTTCTGTGTCTGCTCATTTTTTCATCCTATTCTCCCTCCTTCCTTAAATCCTACCCTTTCTTCAAAGCTTGGGCTTCCTTGTACACTCACTCTAGCCTTCTTTAAACTCAGCAGCAACTCAATTCAACAAAAGCTCTCGTCATTGAAGTAGTTTACAATTATATGGCACTTTCTGATTATGAAGTATATTATGTCCATTAACACATTTGATTTTCACAACTTTATGAGTTAAGGAGTACAAGTAATATTATTCCAACTTTACAGATGAAGAAACTGAGGCTGTCAGACCAGGTGACTTTCCCAGGTTCCCTCAGCTAAGCAGGAGCAGAACTGGCCCTCAAATTGAGGTGCCCAGTCAGGGAGTCACCCAGCACTTGGCTATGGTACTGCTTTGGCACCTGCCGTATGCTACCATATATTGCTGTTCATCCTGTATTCCTGGCACCTTGCATGTAGTAGGTGTTCAATAAATGTCTCACCGGTGTCTAAAGAGTTGATAAGAAAACGTATGTGGATCTAGGAAAAAAGGCCAGTTCCAAATGTGCTTGTACATAATGCATGTGTGATAGGGAATAAGGGAACCGCAGGTAGTTCTGTGATTAGGAGCTGAGTAGCAGAGAGCTTTTAAAGAAAAGGTTAGAGGTTTATAATTGATGCAGCAAGCAAAGGGGAGCCAGGAGAAGAATTGGGAATAGGCACATAATAGGACTAGTTCTGGGAAAGACTGATTTTTGAGGGGGCAAAAGAGACCCAGAAAGGCTGTAGTAATTTAAATGAGCTGAAGGATGGATGAGCCATCCTCGGGAAATTGAGCAGAGACACACATAAAAGAGCAGGTCGAGGGGCCAGTTGTTTGTTCCTGAGGATGTCTTTGCAAATGGCATTTCAAGTTTTGTTGAAGACAGAGGCTGCAGTCATGTATTCAGATCTGTTCTTTGCAGGGTAGTGAATTGTGTCTTCATCCTCTCCTCTTGTCTTTTTTTATAAGAATGCAAAATGAACATATTCATATTACCTTCTTTTCTCAAGGAAAAGGAATCTAGACCATGGAAACATTGTTCGGGTTTGTGAAAGTCAATTTAACATTTGAGAATGTATGTGTCATCTTTGCAGAATGGGCAGCAAGATGTGGCTATGAGAGCCCTGGAGTACTTAGCTCAACGTTCCCAAGACCTGCAACAAGTTCTTACTGCTTTGAAGTAAGTCATCAGCCTCTGGAGAAAGTGAGTACAACAACGTCATATGTCTCCGTCACTCTTTGTGAACTTTGCTGGAACGTTAGTGCTGATGGGAACCATTCAGTCAGGTGGCGTCAGTACCTCCTCATGCCAAGGGTAAATCCAAGAAAGAAAAATCAGGTGGTCCTGGTTCTGCTCCTCCACCCTCAGGATGGAGCATTTCAGTTTGCTCGAAGGCTCCTGGGGGAAGCTTTACCCCCTCAATGGGCCAGTGAAAGGGAAAGTAGAGGCCAAGACTCTCTCAGGGCCATGGCCTGGCATCTGCCAGCCCGAAGAGGGCTGGCTACAGAGAGCACAGCCCATACTCCACTGAATCTCTTGTCTCCCAGTGATATGGAGAGCAGCTCTGTTAATGAGAGAGAATCCTTGAAGAGCCACTAGTAGGTGCTCATAGGCACTTTACTGTTCCAAAGCACTTTCCTTCCATTTTTCTCATTTGGCCCTCACAGTAAGCCCTATGGGATAGGGCTAGATGCTGGGGATATTAACTTGTTTTAGAGGTGAAGAAACTGAGTCTCAGAAAGATAAAGTGACTGGCCCCAGGGTCCCATGGTGGCAGGACAAGTCCTTGAAGGCCAGTACAATTTGTATTCTAGCCTGCAGCCTCAATACCTAGAAGGAACCTTGAGGCATCATCTTATCCAGCCTCCTGCTTTAAACAGTGGCTAAGCCTTCTAGGGCAGTTTGGGAACCTCTCCAGCAACCAAACCTGGGTTACCTTCTTCAACAGTTCATTCCATCGTCCTTGGAGTGCTGGGACCCCGTTAGCCGACTATTCCTGGCCTTGAAGGCCATTTCCGTGTCAGGGTACCTTACGGCACTAGTGGCAATGATGGAAACATTGTGGAATTTGATTGTTGTGAAGCCCCACATCCTGTTACTTTTTTTGTAGGTGTTTGATTCGTCTTGGTATTCCCCAAATCTCTCAAACAACTGAACTGGAAGAAAACAGGTAAGGAAACACTATACACTTCAGAGTTACAGAGATGCCCATGGTCCTCTTAGTAGGGGGCCACCTTGGCCCTGACTCTTGCCTGGGAGTAGCCAGTCTGCTGTTTCTGCCCAGTTTCTGGGCTATCAGCCAGCACAGCAGCTCTGCTAAGGATTTAGCAATTGAGGGGAGAATTAGGTAGCCATGTTTTCATTCAGAGAATCCTCTGCCTCCAGAAAGTGTAAAGGAAAAAAAAATCTCTTCAGACTTTTGCTGAGGGACAATCTCCAGAAGAAAATGGCTAGTTTAGCTCAGGCTGCCAACCTGCCAGCAGTTCTGAATCCTCTTCTTGATCCCCGTCCTCCCCTCCTTGCTTCATAGCCTGGAATCTTGTATGTCTCCTATCAGACTGGCATACGAGCTTGCACATGCAGGTGTCTATAACCTGAGCATGAGGGAAGTCAGCAGACAGACCTTAGTGCCAGCTCTGGGCAGAGAGGTCTTTAGCATCAATTATAGATGGTATGCTATGAAGGCTGTTCGCTTGGCCTTGGCCATGTGTATGGCAGACCTCAATCCTTCAGACAACTGCTGTGTGTTTGTATGTTGGGGGAGAGGGGAAAGAAAAGGCCAAATCATGGATTTTTTAAAAGTGCTCTTTTATTACTTTGAAAATACCTAGACCAATGCAAAGTAGGTTTTCATGATACTGACTAATGTTTCTATTTAGAGTTTAGGGCCTATTTTAATGGATTAATCAAACTAATTTGTAGAGAGACAACCTAATGCAGTGGAGAGAATGCCTGAGTTCTGAGCCCAGGAATGAACTCTGTGACCTTGGGCAAGTCCCCTTCCCTCTCTGAAGCACAATTTCCTCATCTATACAACGAGGGCTTTGCAGTAGATGATCTCAAAGGATCCTTCCTATTTCCCAAACCAAAGGCTTCTATGATTTTAACTTGCACTATCTGTCTGCATATTAACTGTTAATTTAGCAATATGTTTTAAAAGTTTGCTCCCTCCTTGGAAGCCTATTTGCAAGCCCATTCATCAGATCTTACAACAAGAAAGGGTAAATTAGTATCAAGATCACCAAACTTGGAAAAGATGGCTAGAGATCTGGGACCCAGACCTCTTCTTTGGCACCTTGCTGTGTGACTACGGACAAACCAGGCTCCCCGAGCCTCAGTTTTGTTACCCGAAAAATGGAGATAAGAATGACTCTAGTCCCATCCTCGCTCACAGGATGAAGCTGAGGAGGAACTGAGCACAAAAACCCAGGATATAAATGGAATGTAAAGATGTGAAGAACAGAACAATGATGATGATGATGATGATGATGATAATAATAATCCCTGAGAGAACACTGCCTAAAGGCTGTGTGAATAATAAGAACTGAATGGTACTTTGTAGCTTATAAAGTGCTTTCCCATCCCTTTTCTCCTTTGATCTTTACAATGCCCCACAAAGTCAGCATTTTATAAAGGAGTAAGCTGAGGCCCAGAGAATGCAGAGGTGGCTTGTCCAAGGTCATCAGCAGCCTCTATGTCAGACCCTTTGACCTCAGGGACTTTCTCATTTTGCCTCTGAGCATCTGCTCATGTGTTTCCTTTAATCCTTCCAATTCCAGAAAGGAAGAAATGGACAGACTTTGGTCCTGGCTGCAGATAGGTAAGCTTTGCTTGCTTCTTCTCTCTTTGTAGTCCAGCTAATGCTTTGGTCTGGCTCTAATAAGGCCTTAAAGGGCAGTGGTGAGCCTGTTGATTTCGATGTGAAGCCTGCATTAATATTTTCTACAGTAGATACCCTTGGGCTCTGTGCTCCTTTCTCATAACTAACCTTTATCCATAAGAATTTGACATAAGACAGTATTTGACAAAGTAGTGCTCCTGCTGGGTTCTCCTTGTCCTTGGACTCTGACTTGAATGGTGTTCCCTGGCTTTCCAAGATTGTATACCTTGGAACATCCAGGGCACCTCCTTCCTCTATCTGATTGCTCTTTTACTCGCTTTCATTCTGTCCAGGAAGTCTTCTCACAACACACCAGAAAGGCATTGTGGAATAGTGGAGAGATGGCTGTCCTTAGAGCCAGGAAGACCCGGGCTAAGTGTCTATGTCAATGTCTGACACAATCTGGCCGTGGGACCCTGGGAAAGTCACTTACCCTCTCAATGCCCTAGGCAACTCTCTAAGATAAAGTTGCAGGGAAGCTGCCAGTCTGCATTGATAGAGGGAGTTTCTTCATCTGGGAGTTCCCTAGGCTGATGAAATCACAGTTCAAAAACCAAACAAAACCCCAAAGCTTACCCCACTTAAAAGCATGTAAAACAGTAGAGTTGTTGACAGAGCACAGGGGGTGAAAAACCAGCCTGGCATGTCTCTCCAAAGGGCTTGGGGGCGTATAAGAAATACTCCCTGGTGATGGTAACATACTACGGGAGCTCAGTAAATGTTAAGCCAACCTAGCAATACTCTTTCAATTCCTAATCTTTCCTCCTTTCCCTCACTTCTTTCTTTTTCTTAAATTTATTTTTTTGAATTAACAAAAATATCGATTTTCTCTCCCTCTCACTTCTCCCTCTTCCGTTGTGAAAAACAAACAAAAACAAAAAACTTCTTGGAACAAATATGCAGAGTCAGGCAAAACAAATTACCTCATTGGCCATGTCCAAAAATATATATAGATCTTATTCTGCATCCTAAGTTCATTGGCCACTCTGTCAGGAGAGAGGTAGCAAGCTTTGTCATTGGCATCATGGTTGGTCATTGTGCTGGTCATAGTTCTTGAGTTTTTCACAGTTGTTTGTCTTTATAATGTTATCATTGTGTAAATGGTTCTTTTGGTTTTGTTCACCTCACTTTGTATCAGCCCATAGAAGTCTTCCCACTTTTTTCTGACACCATCCCCTTCATCATTTCTTATAGCACATATAACATTCATAGACTTGTTCAGCCATTCCCTAATCAGTGGGCACCCCTTAGTTTTCAGTTCTTTGCCACCACAAAAAGAGTTGCTGTAGATATTTTTGTACATATGAGGCCTGTTCCTCTTTCTTTGATCTCGTTGGGATTTAAGCCTAGTAGCAGCATCGCGGGGTCACAGGGTGTGCATAGTTTAGTGACTTTGGGTCCAAAGTCCCCAGCTGCTTTCCTGAATGGCCAGACTGAGCCCCTGATCCATAGCTCCACCAACAGGGCTTTAATACACCTGTTTCCCCCCAGCGTTTCCAACAATTTTCATTTTTCTTTTTTGTCCACTTTGCCAATCTCATGAGTGACCCTTCACTTCTTTCTGATCATTCTTTTTTCTTTTGGTTTCTTTACCCTAATGTTTATCTCCTTATTATCTCAATAGTGCCTTGGAAATTTACTAGCTGCATGTGTGGCCAATGACAAGTCGATATATGTCTCTGAACTAAAATCTCCTGCTCTGAACAATGGAGCCAGTACCTACTGTTGCTATCTCATAGAATCATGATGATGATTCTATGAGATAGTGTATGCTTAAAGTGTGAAAGAGATGCCGGCTTACGTTTGATGGCATTAATGACTATGGTCTGCCCAAAGGTGAAGGGATTACCCAAAGTCTGGTCTTCCTGATTCTTGGAGCTAGGTGTAATACCTTTTCTCATCTTAAATTACTTTTGGGGTGCACACAGGTGCCAAGGCTGAACCTTCCAAAAGAAAATTCGCGGAAGCTGGTTTTTTAGAAGGATTAATAATTCTCTTTAAATACCCAGTACAAAGCTTTGATACCACACTCTCCCTTTGATGCAGCCCACCAGAGACTTGCTGAGCCGGTAGCAAAAGAGAAACTGACTTTGGATGTGTGGACTAATGAAGCCCATTGGTTTCGAAAAATAGGTAAGAGGCAAGTCCACCAACAACAGAGTTGCTGATCAATTCTTCCTTCTCTTTCAGATTTCTCTTTCTCTTTCCAAGCTTTGTCTCATCTTGCCCATTAGCCTCCAAATGTCAATAACCACCACATACCGTTCTTGTGGAGGCAGTTGCCAGGGTGATGAGTGAGCAAGAGAGCACAGAAATGTCACAACCCCAGTGGGCTTTGTTTGGCCCTGGCTGCCTAATGGCCAAAGGTGCTAATTTAGCTCAGGGAGAAAATGGACGAAATGAAGCACTTCAGCTTTAGAAAAGAATGTCCGCATTCTAATTGTCAAAAACTTAAGGCTGCTCTTGACCTTAGGGAAATGGGAAAAGTCATTTTCTAGGCCCCAAGAACCTTTCTCCTTTGGCTGAATTTTAATTTTGGTATCGCAGAGATGTTGCCCAACTTGAGTATTTGTTTTGCTTAAGCCTCACTCTTTTCAACTGAATTTAACTTCTTCTTCCATTACTTCTAGTTCACGGTATCAGAGAATGTCAGAAGTCACTAGTCCCAAGGTGTCAAGTATGTGGCCCCCACCAGGGCTACATGCAGTCCACAGCACTCCTGAGGAAGGCCTTAACCAGATTCAAATGTCAATGGGAAATGTTTAGCAAAATAAATGAAAATACAATAAAACATAGATAACGTTACATTTGAAAACTTAATTTCAATATGTAGACATACAAATTAGTGGGCCTCATTTCTATTTGATCAAGTCCTGCTCCCTCAAATAAGGGAAGAAACTGAGAAGACCCAGAGAGAAAAAGGGACATGGTAAAGGTCACAAAGTAAATGTTGTACAGTGAGTGTAGTAAGCACTGAGGCCCATGGTTTGAGTCCTGGTTTTACTACAGACTTGGGCAAGCTCCTTTGCCTGTCTGGGCCTCACTTTCCTCCTTCACCAACTGATGGGGTTGGACCTTATCTCTAAAGGCCCCTCTGCCTCCACTTTCTATACCTGTGTGAATCTCTGTGGTATGAAGTCCTCCTCTGATACCTTGGCCTAGTGTGTAGGTACCCCTGGGCACTTAGTCTGCTTGCAGAGCCCCAGCTCTGGCCACTCCATGCGGGCCCATCTGGTACCCAAGGATTAGCCTAGCTCCAGGCAGCGAGGTTCATCACTAGGTTGTACGCAATGCGATCGGTCAGCTTTGTAGCCCCAGCAGTTCTCTCACCAAAGTCTCAAGTGTAATGGAGCAGGACCAGGACTTCAAGGTCCCAAGGCGGTGCAGGTAAGGGGCCCTTAGGGGGTCTCCCAGGAGCATGTCATAGGCCATAGGAGCATGTCACTTGGACTCTCCACCTCGAATTATTGATCCCTGTTGGCCTTCAGACTAAAGTTTGGGTACTGAAACTCTCAGTTATTTGAGAGACAGTAAGTTATGGCACCCTGTGCAGAGAAACATGTTGAACTTACAATTCCATGCTTTTTCTTAGCCCCCAAGAGAATAGTAAGAACCTCTGAGTCCTCTGACTATACTAATATGTCAGGATAGGTGTAGCAGTGAGTGTACTTAAAGGTAGAGATGATGTCCAAAAGGTTTTCATTGTGCCACTCTGGTGTGTTTACTTTGAGCCTGGAACTTGGCCATGCAGTGTGAAAAGTGCCCAGGAACCATGCGAGACTTCTTCCTGCTTTCTTACAAGGTACGGTTCTTCTGATGGGGATCTAAAAGTAGGACTGTGCTAAAGAGGTGGCCTAGAGCTGAGGGATCTTTAAATGTGTGTAAGCAGGGCTGACTTACAAGGAGGTGGGCACTCCTGGGGTATGGTATGAGGAATGGTGGAGAGAAATCCCCCTTCCCCCAGCTCCACCCCATAGAGAATATAGGCCTTTCTTCCTGCAACTTCTGAGATACCTAGCCGTGGCCATGTCTGCTCTGCTTGAATGTATCCTAGAAAGTCAGAATTGGAAAGGACCATAGAGGTCATTGGATTCCACCCTCTTAATGTACAGGATAGGAAATGGAGGCCCAGAGAGGGCCATAGAGAGGGGAACAGATTTGAAATGCTGCTGATTATAATGCTGCAGATCCCAGAGCAATCAGCAGTCATTGATGGTTAAGGTTAGTGTGTGGTGACCTGGACTCCAGGCCTGGCTCTCCCACTTCCCTTGTGGTTTGCCCCTCTGGGCCTCGGTTTCTTTTGCATAATCTCTGTGGGGTGGTAGTTCAGATTTGCACATGGCTTTGGGTTGTTGTGCTGGGTTTTTTTCCCAATGGGAGGCCCGGGGGTGTTCCCCACCCCAAGTGAAAGGCAAAAGCTTGTCCAGTTTGTTGTGTCTTCTTGGTCCAGACCAGTGAATTCAGTGGTGTAGGAAACTCCCAGTGTGGCAACTCCCTCTCCCAGTGCAGTTCAGTAACTTACCTGAAACTTAAAGTTTGAGAGAGTCTCTAGGCCTGCTAGAGGTTAAGTGACTTGTCTAGGGCCATCCAGCTAGTACATGGCAGAGATGAAACTTGAAGTCAGGTCTTCCTGACTTGAAATCTAGCCCTCTGGCCATTACCCGAGATGGCCTCTCAGCCAACCCAAAATATCAGCACACATTTCAGTTCTCTTTCATACCAAGAAGGGCTCTGCTTGTCATGAGGAATCATTTGGAAATTATAACACAAACTGAAGAGAAAAATCACTTGATAAATGAATTCTAGGGCAGGAAGTAGTTCTTGCTGCTGGGAGGGTAAGATCCCCTGAGGAAGGTATCACAGACACCACAAAAATCAGGGTGAAGTGAAAACCTGAGCCCCTTGTCCAGGTGATATACTATGCCGTCCAAACAGGCTGTGACTGATTTGCATTTTGAGTCTTTTTTTTTTTTGAGAATTTTGAGAATTTTCACCATTCACTCATGTTGTGCTTATTTCTCCTCAGCTCTCCCAGTTTTGTCCCTCTGAGAAAGCAGTTCTGATTTCACAAAAGACATGTTTGCTGATGGCAGCTGCTGCTGATTTAGAACTAGGGAGAAGCGCTTCAGAAGCTTCCCAACAGGTAACATAGAGCAAAGAGGACAGTTGGCTGCCCAGCTATAAAGGAAAGATCCAGGCAATGGGAAGGGGGTCGTTTCTCTCCGCTGTCTTCTCTTCCTTTGATCCTGTGCTTCTTAACTTCCAGCTTGCCTTCCATCCACCTCTGCTTTCACTCCCCTCTTGTTCCTAGAGGCCTGCAGTGGCCCTGCTTGGCTTTCTCTCCTCCTCTTCCCTTCTCACAGGGGTTTGTGTGAGCCCCTATATTCCTTGGGCAACTCTGTCCTCTTGGAACATTCTGTGCTGTATCTTTTAAGGGATTCTTCATCTCTGGGTATCCCTGTATCTATGAGTGCCCCCAGGACTTTTGCCCAAATCCTTTACTGTTTTTCTTTTCACATTCTTTCTTTGGGATAGTTCATCCACTCTGGCAATTTGACAAGTGTGTGAAAGGAAGTGACTCGTGGGCTGACTTGCCTCAGTAAGAAGTCCACTTGACTGAATCCAGCTTGCTTTCTCAATCCAGCACTACATCTCATTCTGACATGTCTTAAAATCTCATTAACTCAAGCTAAGTATGAATGAGAGAGCACTGATCTGGCCAAATCCTCCTTTCTGTGTCTATATCCTTATGCCCTGGGGGAAAGAGAGCATCTCTTTCTTTCAGATGCCAAGGGGAAGGGTCAGCTTTGCTGCTTCACTTTTCTTTCTCCTGTTATAAGCCAATTATTACCATTTGGCTTCCTCCCACATTTTTCAGATCCAGACTTTCCTTTCCATACTACTATTACCCAAGCCTTTGGTCACCTGTCACCAGGACAAACAAACACCATGGCCCTCCATCCCTCCTGCTACTCTCTAGTAAGTGCAAAAGTCCATGCCTAATGGAGAAAAGAATTCACCTTCTCATTCCCTAGATCTAGAACAGCTGGAACACTGGCTCTAGAGTTGGAAAGAACCTTTGAGAACATCTAACACAACCCCCTCATTTTTGCAGAAGAGGAAACCGAGGCTCTGAGTGGTTAAGTGGCTGACCCAAGGTCACACAGGTAGTGAATAAATTAGTAGAGCTGGATTATCTACCATAATATTTCTTTTCCTCTCCCTTCCCTTTTTCAGAACTTTCCTCTTTGAAGAAGCCTATCCCACTTATACAGGGTGTCTTCAAAGTCTTAGGGCAGTTTTAAATATCCTGCCCTAAGATTTTGGGGACACCCTGTATATAGACCCAAACCTGAAACACAGCTGCTCTGTCTTTGGCCTTCTCTGAAAACATTTAGAGGTATAGGGAGTTAGGGCCTGGTCCTGGGATTTCAGCAGTAGGATATTCTGAAGTTTACAAAGAGCTTTCCTCACAACAATCTTGTGAGCTGAGCATTATCACCCACATTTTACAGATGATGAAACTGAGGCGGAGGGAGATGATGTGACTTGCCCATGGCCTTACAGGTGGAAAGTAGCAGAGCCAGGATTCAAGCTGCCTGTGTTTTGCTTTTTTCTGTGTTTTTCCATAATCTTTCCCCCCTCATACCCTTTCTCATCTTTCCCTAGAACTCAATAAAATTGTACTCTTTATCTTTGCTCTTTGATTTTTCTTGCTTTTGGATGGGGTCCCAGGTAGGCGCTCAAGAATACTCGGCTCCCTTTGTTCTTCTGAGTACAGGCTCTATCACTCCTGGGGATTAGGTCCCGGTGTTCTGGGTGTGTCTGCTGAGAACCTGCTGAGTTCTGGTGTGCTTGAAGGCCTTCCCCCTCCCCCTCATGTGTTCCCTGTTCTCTGAGGCTGTTCCTCAGCTGAGGCAAGATGATTGAAGGCTGCAGATAGGTTGCAGTCATCATGTCCCAATTGTTTTCCCCCCCTGCTGTGTGGGTGGCCAGAGGAGATTGAGGGCCATGTCTTACAGAGTCTCAGTCTTGGAACTTGTTACCGAGTAGTCTAAATGGTGCTGTGGCTCGCCAAAGACATTGACATGCCCCCAGGTTTGTTGCTGAGCCGCCTCCTTCTTCCAGAGGTATTGGGGCTGTGACCTCTATCAGGAGGCCACTGTGGTTTTAGAAATGCTCAGGCCATAAAGATGTTTGATTTTCAGAGCTGCTTTTTTGATGAGTTGTCGTGAGATGTGTTTACAAGTTGTTGAGAAATTCTTTGTTCTAACTTAATGGTGTCTTTTTTGCTACATAGACTGAGATGCTGACTCATGCACTTGAGCACATACAGGGGTGCAAAGAAATCGTGAATGTCCTGAAATTAGCAGGTATGATGGGAGCTAGAAATTTGGGAAGAGAATTATGTAGTTTCTTTAGAACTGCCACTTCTGACAAGCAATACCACTATTAAGTATGTTTTCCGAGGTGATTGGGGAGGGGAGGAAAAGAACCTATATGTTCTAACGCATTTATAGCAGCTCTCTTTGTGGTGGCAAAGAAATGGATATTGAGGGGGATGCCCATCAACTGGGGAATGGCTGAACAAGTTGTGGTATGTGATTGTGAGGGAATACTGTTGTGCTGTAAGAAATGATGAGCAGGTTGATTTTAGAAAATCCTAGAAAGATTTACATGAAATAAAGCAGAGTAAAATAAGCAGAACCAAGAGAATGTTATACACAGGAACAGCAATATTGTCCAAAGAGTGACTGTGAATGACTAAACTATTCTGAGTAATATACATACATATATATATATATATATATATATATATATATATATATATATACATACACACACACACACATATATATATGTATCTGTGTCAAATGTTGGCCTTCCTTAATGTGAGCTTGGGAGGGAGGTAGACAACTCAACTGAAATTATAACAACAAAAAAAAAATTTAAAGATGTATTTGGAAAATATTTAACGAAATAACTAAAAATGTAATAGAATGTTAAAAAAAACCAAACCACTTCTGGAGTCGAGTGACACAAAACTGGGACCACCACTAGAACCTTGAACTGACGGGATATTGAAAAGCCTAATGGCGTCCTCGGTTACAGGTTATCTTTCGTAATCAACAGATCTTGGTAACTGATTTGAAACGAGAGGAGAGAATCCAAGAGAAGCCCATGGTTTCATACATGGTAGGCAGAAGTTGTGTGGTAGATGGGAATGGTGAAATCAGGAGGAGCAACTTGAATGATGTTTCATTTTGGACAGGTTGAATTTCAAGTGCTCTTGAGTTATCCAGGTGGGGTAGACCTTTAAGCCACTGGAGATTCAGGTTTGTGGCACAAGCTGGGTCATGGGCTCCCATATAGATTTGGGAGTCATCTTCTTAGAGGTAGGTGTTGAAGTTCTGGGAATGACTCCCAAAAGAGAGTCCAGGCCACACTTATGGGGAGCACACACTTAAGGGGTAAGGCAGATGAGGAAGAACTTGCAAAGCAGATATCAAAGGTGCAGCAAGAGGGAGGAGGAGGAGGAGGAGGAGGAGGAGGATCAGGAGAACGTAAAGCGTCTAAGGCCAAAGGAAGAAACATCATCTATCCCAGTGCCGCCGGAAAGAGAGCGAGGAAGCTGGGGACTGAGTAATCAGATCATTGGTGACCTTTGGCACATGGTAGGTGCTTAATAAATGCTTGTGGCCTACCTGCTGTCTTTCAGCGCAGTGGAAGCCCTCCATCCCTGCAGAAACCCAACTGTGAAGGGCTGAGGTTAGATAGTAATGAAATGGAAGCATCAGGTATATACAACTTTTCCAAGATGTTTAGCAGTCAGGGCCTTGCTATCTGAGAGAGATTATTTCATAGCTGCCCAGGGCAGGAGGACCAAGGAGTAGAAACCTTTTCATGGGAAAAGGTTTCCCCCCAGTTCATTTTAGGGTTGGGGGTGGGAGCCGGGCATGTTTGTAGGCAGAGAAGTAGCCAGTGGTGAAATGGATTTCAGCTCCATATAACTGCCCAACAATTACGAGTTTGCTCAAAACTTGATTGGGTTGCTTCATGGGGTAACCTGAGGTGGTTCCAGCAGAAGGGAGGTGGCCACTTGTCCCGATGCTGTAGAGGCTGGGTGGGCCTCAGCGCGCATGCCCTCTCATAACCTTCCCACACTAAGAATCGCTGACGTGAGACCCCGTCTCCAGGCCCCTCTCTCCTGTTGAGTGACTACAAAATCTGGGTTACATTATTAGAATCCCCATGGGTGGGAGAGCCCACAATGTTGCTTTGGCATTTCTTCAGGCCAGTGGTAAACCTGGCAGTGACTTCAGGAAGCGTGGGCACTGCTTAGTGAATGTAGCCAGGTTGTTGAAGTGAATTGGGGGCTGAGAGATTTAGCGGGGAGAAATCTGTCCATGGGGGCTGGAATAACCTTTGAGTTGTAAATGAAATTCATTTTCTTCCTCCTGCAAAGCTCCCTAGCTGAGAGCAGGAGAGAATAATGGGCCACAGTCACTGGGCTGCTGGCTTTTTTACCTCTTCCTCAGGGGACAGCTCCAAGGATCCAACTGAGAATTTGCTTCTCCTTTATGAGATTGAGGCCAGAGCCAAGCTGAATGATGCAGGCCTGACCAGCCTCCTGGAGTCTGTGTGGGAGCTGCCTCAATTAGAGACCAAAATACTAGAAACGATTGCATGTAAGGATTGTGTTTGCTTTGCCTTTGCTAACTTCCTGGAGGAGGGGCCATTCTGGGGCCTAGCTCTTAGCCTTTCTTTGTTTGTTGTTATTTTCTTGTTTTTGTTTGTTTTTACCATTGTCCCTTCGCTAAAGCCCTGCCCACCCCACAGTAGAGCCTCTCTTAGGACAAAGAAGCTTTCAGTTGCCCTGGCAACTACACATATGTAATACTCCATGCTCACCCCTAGTGAGAGCAGGAGGAAAGTGTTTGATGAGGAGGCCCCTGGAATCTTCATGGGCATTGTTCTCTTGATTTGCATCAGTTCATGCCACATTGAGCCACTCTTTCTCCGTTTTGGGGATGATTCTATACTCGGGCTCCTTGCTGATCTGCTTCTTTGTGAGTGGAACCCTCTCCAAATGAACTCCCCATCTTTCGTTCATTTCTGCACGTGCGCACGCGCACGCGCACACACACACACACACACACACACACACACAGAGTAAAAGTCCTCACTGAATGTTGAATGAAGTGAGGAGAGATTCTAGACAACAGAAGTAAGAAGCTATCTCAGAAAGCATCCATGGATTTGTTGTTGCAGCAAACGAGTTTATTGATTTCCAACCATCTTGCTCAAGGAGGCCATAGGCTGTGATGGACATGTGACTGTGGCTGATGTTCAGAGAATGTTGCTATCTTTACTGAGACCTCGCTTTTCACTCTTGTTTTTAAAGCTGTAGCAGTGGAGCACCCTGCCCACTATCCAGACGTCTCGAAAAAGGCCTTGAAAATGGCCTTGTGTCTCTACCTGCAAGGAGAACCCATTGATGCTGTGAAGTTCAGGTGAGGGAGCCAGTCCAGGTTAGGCAGTACTGAGTCCTCGCTGTGGGGCCAAGGTCACTTGAAACAGTAGCTGGGCAGAAAGAGCAGCAGAAGACAAAGTGCTTGTCCTCTTTGTACGTCTTGCACTAGGAGAGGGGCTGAGAGGCCCACAGAGATGATAGGAGAATCTTGGGGTGAGGTTTGTGCTGACTAGCTTGTGCTGGAGTCAGGGCCCAGCACTCCCCCCAATTCCTGGATCTTTCCCTTCCCTCCAAGACCAAGGGGAAGGAGGGAAGGACAGGGAGTCTGTGTGTTAGGAGAATATGCAACTGCCTTGTGCCTTTTGTTGAGCAGTGGGCAACCCGCAGAAGCGCAGGCTATTATCTGAGTTCTAAGATACTTAGTTCCTCTGAAAAGTCTCATTACAATCTCCCTGTCCAAGAATACCAAGAAAAGGTTCCCAGCTAAGATCCTATACTTTCTTGCCTGTTTGAGTTGGAGTGACTCCTAAAACAGAATGACCACTCTTGGCAAAGGCCTGGTGTTGGTGACAAGTGGGCTGAGGCAGCACAGTCGTCACTTCAGGCATGTGCACTTAGCCAGGGCCCCGGGGCAGCCCTTCTGAAACTTGCACTTGGGCTTGGGATACTGGGTAGCTCTCATTTCATTGGTCTTCTAAACAATGGTCCGTTCTCTGTTGTGATTGCCAGCAAATGTCTGCACAGCTTCATTAATCTTTTGCTGCCAGATGGGGTATTGAGCACAGATATGTGTCCCCTGCAAGAAATTTGGAGAATCTTTGAAGATGCTCTTCATGTGATCCGTGTCTCAGTAAGTCAAGCTAATAGATCATACATGATGATGCTAGGTACAGAAAGCAAACCTCAAGAAGAAGGGGTATTGGAAATGGACCCAGGTTCCTGTTTTCTGCTTAGTCTGTTTCAGGGCAGATACATCCTTATGACCTTCTGTATAAAAGAAGCACTATTATGGCATGTCAGCAGTCCAGGTCAAAGGACAGTCTCCATTCCAGGTACTGCTGAGCCTGAGGGAAAAATCCCTCCATCATGAGACATTGCTAGAGCTCTCTGTGTTCTTTGGAGAAGTGTTAGGTGAAATTTTCCTTGTCATTAAATTAATTGCCCAAGGTCACGTGAGTGTGACAATATGGAGTCAGTATTAAAAGCCACTAACTTCAAAACTCTACCTTCCAGCTTCCAAATGGCCTCAAGCAGGGTAGAGACAATCTTGCAGCTGAGTCCCAGATTCAGTCTCACCTGGATTTTTCTCTCCTTATTCTCAAATTCAGGCCCTAGTGCAGAGCTGCTGGAGACAGTTCCTCCTTCCTCTACTACTGCCAGCAGTACTTGCCTGGCCACCAGGGGTCATGGCAGCTAATAAACCAAATACAACTTATGGCACATTAGTAGAAGTGTTGAGTCCAGAGCAAGCACAGGTGACCCCAGTTTTAGAAGGCACGTTGATGTTGCATTCCAAAGAATGCATGTAGGACAGTGATCATGAGAGTTCAACTGAGAGAACAGAAGAGTTAGTAGGGATCTAAGACATGTCACGTAGAAGAGGCATCATATGTTAGCAAACATTTCTTAAGCACCTACTGTGTGCCAGGCACTGTCCTAAGTGCTGGAGATACAAAGAAAGACAAAGGACAGTCCTGAATCAAAGAGCTCCCAATCTTTTTTTTTTTAATTTTTTTTATTAATTAATTTATTTTGCTTTATCAACAATCACTTCCAGAAGCTTCTGAGTTTTAAATTTTTCTCCCCCTCCCTCTCTCCCTTCCTCACCAAGATGGCATGCAATCTGATATAGGCTCTACATATACATTCCTATTAAACATATTTTCACATTAGTCTTTTGTGAAGAATTAGAACCAATAAGAGGAACCACCAGAAAGAGAAAACAAAACAAAACAAAACAAGAAAAAGAAAAAAAAATAGCAAACAGTATGCTTCAATCTGCATTCAAACTCCATAGTTCTCTCTTTGGATGTGGACAGCATTTTCCATCTTGAGACTTTTGGAGATGTCTTAGATCTTTGCATTGTTGAGAAGGGCTAAGTCTATCAATGTTAGTCATCACACGACGTGGCTGTTACTGTGTACAATGTTCTCCTGGTGCTGCTCACTTCACTCAGCATCAGACCATACACGTCTTTCCAGGTTTTTCTGAAGTCTGCCTGTTCATCATTTCTTATAGCACAATAGTATTCCATTACATTCATATACCACAGCTTGTTCAGCCATTCCCCATTGGATGGGCATCCTCTCAATTTCTAATTCTTTGCCACCACAAAAAGAGCTGCTATAAATATTTTTGTGCATGTGGGTCCTTTTCCTGTCTTTATGATCTCTTTGGGATACAGCCCTAGAAGAGCTATTGCTGAGTCAAAGGGTATGCACATTTTTATAGCCCTTTGAGCAGAGTAAGGCGCTCCCAATCTAATGGGGTAGACAACATGCAAACCATGTAGAAACGAGCTTGGGCCAGGAGAAATTGGGGCTAAATCTCAGAAGGAAGGCACTAGAATTAAGGGGGACCACTAAAGTCTGTAGAAGGTGGGATCTTGTCTGGGACTTGAAGGAAATCAGGAGGCAAAGGTGAGGAGGAAGAGCATTCCAGGCATTGGGGACACCCTGAGGAAAATGCCAGGAACATTTGGAGTGTCTTCTGTGTAGAACAGCCAGGAGGCCAGTGTCACTGAATGGAAGAGTATGTTTCAAAGAGTAAGGTGTAAGAAGACTGGAAAGGTAGGAAGGCCTTTGAATGTTAAGCAAAGGATTTTGTATTTGATCCTGGAGGTGACAGGGAGCCATTGGAGTTTATTGAGTCGGAGGAGGGCCTGACATGGTGAGACTGATACTTTAGGAAGCTCACTTTGACAGCTGAGTGGAGGATAGAATGGAGTGGGGAGAGTCTTGAGGCCAGAAGACACCCCCCCCCCAGCAGCAGTTACACTAGTCTAGGAGTGAGGTGATTTGAGGGGCTACACTAGAGTCGGAGCAGTGTCAGAGGAGAGAAGAGGGTGCATTCAAGAGATATTGCAAAGGTGAAATCAGTAGTCCTTGGCAATAGATTGAATATGGGGGGAGGGAGGGAGAGATAATGAGGAGTCCAGAATCACTGCTAGGTTGTGAACCTGGGGGGCTGGGAGGATGGTGTTGCCCCCTACTGTAATAAGGAAGGTGGAAGAGGAGAAGGGTTTAGGGGAAAAGCTAATGAATTCAGTTCTGGACACACTGAGGTTAAGATGTCTGATATGCAGGTGAAGATGATAGACTGCAGGTCAGCAAAAAGAAGTATATTTGAGAATCACTTGAGAATAGAGGTGCTCATTAAATCTATGAGAGTTGAGGAGATCACCCTGTGGAGTAAAATAAAGAGAAAAGAGAAGAGGGACCCTCATGGTTACTAAGTGTGACCAGGACATGGAGCCATCAAAGGACACAGAGAAGGAGCAGTCAGAGAGGGAGGAGGAGAACCTGGGGAGGGACTGTCCTGAAGACCTAGAGAGAAGAGACAATCGAGGAGAAGAGGGTGATCGACAGTGTCAAAAGCTGCAGAGAGGTCAAGGAGAATGAGGATTGGGAAAAGGCCATTGGATTTGGCAATTAAGAGATCATTGGTAACTTGGGAGAGAGTGTTTCCACTTGGAATGTTGAGGTGAGAAGCCAGACTGTAGAGACTTAGCCTTACCAAAGAGTTAAGCCACAATTTGGAGGAAATATATGGGACAATAGTTAGAGGGGATGGATACATCAAATTAGGGTTTTTGGAGGAGGAGGGAGAAATCAGCATGTTTGTAGACTGGGAGAGATTGAAGATTAGTGAGATCGTGGAGATGATAAAGGCCACAATCTGCTGGAGAAGATGGGATGGAGAGGAATCCCTTGTGCAAGTAAAGGATTTGGCCTTGCCCAGAAGAAGGGTGACTTCTTCATGGTTGATGGAGTAGATGGAGTGGGGGAGGGAAGTATCTGAGTGGCATAAGATGAGGAAGAGGGGAGAAGAGGGAGCTCTTGGCAAATGGCCTCCATTTTTTTTTCAGTGAAATATGAGGCAAGGTTCTCAGCTGAGAGGAGGAGGAGGAAGGAGGAAAAAGTTTGGAAAAGAAGCAATGGTGAGTGGGATCAAAAGGATTGCCTTGCAGCGATGAGGACCCAGTAGTGGACGAAATTAGCATGGTTTTATGATTTTCTCCAGTTTTGCTCAACATCATGAGAATAGGAGGGAAGGAAACCATGGTGAGAGTAATCTAAGGCTGAGCCTTGGCAGGGCAAGATTGGTGGTAGGATAAGAGGGCAAGGAGCTCAAGAGAAGAAGACAGTGTAGAGTTGAACTGGTTCACCAAGGGGTCAAGATGGTGAAGGGAGGAGGCTGTAGCCAGGGTGGCAGTGACAGTCTGGGAAAGAGCTGAGGGGTCAAAGGGTTGAAGGTCAAGGTGAGGACTAAGGACGGGGTTTAGGGTTGCAAGACAGAAGGAGAAGTGGAACGACAATAGATTGTGATCAAATGAGGGAATTCCAGCCATCATGAGCGTGGAGGTGCTACATTTGTGGGTGATGGCAAAATCGAGAGTATGGCCATCTCTGTGCATAACTGAGGTGGATGGAAGGGAGGGGGTCATGGGAGCTGAGGAAGCTTAGGTACTGGGAAGGTTCCCTGGTATAAGGACAAGAGTTGGAGAGGAGGGGCAGCTAGGTGGTTCAGTGTTTAGAGCACTGGCCCTGAAGTCAGGAGGATCTGAGTTCAAATCTGGCCTCAGACACTTGACACTTACTAGCTAGCTGTGTGACCTGGGCAAGTCACTTAACCCTGATTGCCTCACCAAAAAGAAAAAAAAAGAGTTGGAGAGGAGAGACTAAGCCAGGCCCTGAACTCTTTGAGGAGAGAAGAGAAGTGCACTGGAGCTACCAGATGGGAGTAGAGAGAAAACCTGGAAGTGGCCATGGGGAGCAAGGAAGATTCCAAACCCCCTACCTTGCCCAATGAGTCAGGGATAATGGTGCAAGTGCAGCCAGGGCTGGAAGGGGAGCCAGGTCTCAGTGATTGAGAAGGTGGAAGGAGTGGGAGACAAAAAGGAGTTTGTTACCTACAGAGCTGGCACCCCAGAGGGCACAGTAGAAGGAGGCAGACAGCTCTAGAGTTTAGATTTATTTTACTTGGCCCTGGGCAGAAGAGCTGTGACTAATTGGTGTGAGCTCCAGGGAGGTAAATTTTAGCTCCCAACTTGAGGACAAACTTCCTAACAATTTGGGCGGTGCAGAAATGGGTCTAGCTGAAGGCCTCCAAGCAGAGGCTGGTTAACAGCTTGGCAAGGATGCTTGTTGTAGTGTAGCTGGGGGTGAGTCTAATTAGAAGATCCCAAGCTTCCTGGCCATTCCTGAATGGAGTGTCACTTGTCACTTCCTTGGGAGCCAGAAACCATTGTTTATTGGGTTTCACCCCACAAAGACGTTTACTGGTAGCTAAGGAGAAGGGGAAGTGAAGCAGCTCAGAGAATCTTCTCCTCCTGTACCCCTAGTTCAGGCAAGAAATGCCCTGCTACTCTGTCTGGAGGAAAGGCTTTGTGCAACAATTCAGGGTCACACAGTTAGGAAGTGTCTGAGGCCAGATTTGAACTCAGGAGGATGAGTCTCCCTAAATCCAGACCCAGCACTCTATCCACTGTGCCACTTAGCTACTCTTGAGTTTTGTTAGTAACACACAATAAGGCTGATGATTTTGTGGATTTATTTTGTATCCTGTTATTTTACTGATACTAATCATTTTCTCAATTTTCTTTGCTGATTTGATAAGGTTCTCTAGTTAAATGACTGTGTCATCTTTAAGTAGAAATTTTGCTTCCTCTTTGCCTATGTTTATTTCTTCCATTTTTTTCCCTTATTGCTATAGGTGCCATTTCTAGTACTATGTTGAATAATAATAATAATAATAATAATAATAATAATCAATGGACATCTTTGCTTTACCCTTGATCTTATGAGGAAAGCCTCCAGTGTTTCTCTGTTGCAGATAATGCTAGGCCTTGCAAGTTTTACATAGATACTTTGTTGTAGTTTTAGATAGATAAGGAAAAATCCTTTTATTGCTGTGCTTTAAAAAAATTTATTTACACAAATGAATGCTGCATTTTGTTAAAGATTTTTTCTTCATCTCTTGATATAATCATGTGGTTTTCATTATTTTTTTATTAACATGATTATTTCTGTTCATAGTTTTCTTAATGTAGAACTATCCTTGGATTACTAGTATAGATCTAATCTAGTCATAATGAATAATTTTAAAATATATTATTGTATTCGTTTTGCTAACATTTTATTAACTCTTTTTGAACCAATGTTCATTAGTGTTACTAGCTCATAGTTTTCTTTTTCTGTTTTCTCTTTTCCTAGTTTAGGTATCAGGTTCATATATGTTTTAGAGAAGGAGTTTAGTTTTGTGGTCCTTTCCTTCTTTCTTTTTTATAAGCAATTTGTGTAGTATAGGAGTTATTTAGTCTTTAAATACTTAATAGAATTCACTTGTAAAATCCATCAGTTAATTTACAGCTATTTATTAAGTGTTTAACTACGTGCCCAGCACCATGCTAGGCACTGACTATACAAGTAAACATAATGTTGGTAGATCCAAATATATAGAAAGTAGTTAATTATAACTTATAGTTAGGGAGATCAGGAAGAACTTCATGTAGAGGACGGTGCTTGAGCAAAGGGACTCACAAGTGGAGGTAAGGAGAATAAGCATTAAAGACATGGAAACAAGAGATGGAGTAAAAGAGAAAAGGCCAATTTGGTTGGACTCAAGAGTGCAAGACAGGGAATAATGTCCAGTGAAGCTGGAAAGCTGGGTTGGGGCCACGTTCTGCAGGACTAGAAAAGAACAGTTTATATATATATATATATATATACACACATACACATATATATATATACACACATACACACATATATATATATATACACACATATATATACATATATATATACACATATATATATACATATATACACATATATATATACATATGTATATACATATATATATATATATATGTATATACATATGTATATATATATATTTTTCCTGTAGGCAATATGAAGCCATAGAGTAGCTTAAGTAGTAGAATCAAATGTTCAGATCTGTGTTCAAGGAAAATGACTTTGGCAGCAGTATATATTAGACTGGAGTGGGGAGGATCTGGAGGCAGGGAGGCCATTTTGGAGGCTGTTACAGTAATCTAGGTCAGGGCTTCTTCGACTTTTTCCACTCAAGATCCCTTCAGTGCTTCTCACAGTGATGAGAGGTAATGGGGCCTGAATTACAATGTCGGCTTTCTGAGTGGAGAGAAGGGGTCAGATGCAAGAGATGTAGGGGTAGAAGTGGCATAATTTGTCAACTGATTGGATAAGAGGGGTGAAGTAGAGGGAGGACTTAAGGATGATGCTGTGGTTGCAAAGGTCAGACACTAGAATAGTGGTGCCTTTAACAAAAATCGGGGAAGGGATGAAGGTTTAGTAGGAAGGATCCGAAGCTGAATTTTGGACATATTGAGTCGAAGATGTCTCAGAGACATCTGGTTTCAAATGATAGTTACGCACTGGAACTTAAGGGAGAAACTGAGGCTCAATATCTAGATCTGGGAGTCATCTGTATAGAGATGAGAGACACACCCATGAAAATTGCTGAGATCTCGAAGAGAGAAAGTAGAGAGGGAGAAGAGGCCCAGGACAAGACATCAAAGAACATCTACTCCCCCTTTTGGGGATTCTCTCTCAGAAATCAGATTATTTAAAATCTGTATTTCTTGTTTTGCTAATTTGGATATTTTATATTTAATTCCCCTTTTCATTTAAGATTTCAGTTTAGTTGGCAGATAATTGAGTATAGTCAGTGGTGTTCAGATAAATGTTTAATATCTGGTCACACTTTTTGGTGTAATTTGTATTATTAACATCTTCTCCATTTCATTCTCAAGGCCAGACAATCAGTAAAACCCTAAATGGGCACCCTGGTTTGTAGCCTTTGCAGATTTCCTCAAAGATTCTTGCTCCCAATGGGAGCTGCTTCTAACTGACTCCAGCACATCCCTAAAGTGGCTTCTGATGATTTTCTTTTGTTTCCCTTCCAATCCTTGTAAATTCCTTCTTCTCTGTTTTTTTTTATCAGGATAAATCACTTTTCCTCTCACTTAAAAAATCAACAGTTGTTTACTTCTTTTTTTTTTTGCTTTAAAAATTCTGCTTTTATGCTTGTTTAGGGGATCATTAATTTGTTGATTTTATTGATTTTTTATAGTTCCATGCTCAATTCATTGGTCTTCTTCCTGTCTTTTGGTAATATGTGTTCAGAAAGATACACTTTCCTCTAATGACTGCTATCGCCATTGGTACATTGCCTTGTTATAGTTTTCTTTAATACAGTTGTGTGCCATTGATTTGCTTTGTTCTTTTACCTAGTCATCATTTAAGGTAACATTCTTTGAAGCTATGAACTCCTCCTACCCTCTGCCTCCAGGTCCTGCATCACCTAGATAGAAAGAGAAATTCCATTTACAATAACTATAGCCAGTATAAAATACTTGGGAGTCCACCTGCCAAGACACACACAGGAACTATATGAACACAATTATAAAGCACTCTTCACACAGATAAAGGCAGATCTAAATATTTGGAGAAATATTAATTGCTCCTAGGTAGGCTGAGCCAACATAATAAAAATGACAATAATACCTAAGTTAATTTACTTATTCAGTGCCATGCTAATCAAACTACCAAAGAGTTACTTTATAGAGCTAGAAAAAGTAACAACAATTCATCTGGAGGAACTTAAAAGGTAAGATTGTCAAGGGAATTAATGGAAAAAAAAAACCAACATTGTGAAGGAAGGAGGCCTAGCAGTACCAGTACTATACTACAAAGCTGTAATAAGCAAAACAATTTGGTACTGGGTAAGAAATAGAGAGGTTGATCTGAGGTACCACATCACACCTATCAGACTGGGCAACATGACAAAACAGGAAAATGATAAATGTTGGAGAAGATGTGGGAAAATTGGAACACTAATGCATTGTTGGTGGAGTTGTGAACTGATCCAGCCATTCTGGAGAGCAATTTGGAATTATGCCCAAAGGGCTATAAAAATGTGCATACCCTTTGACGCAGCAACTGGGAAAAGGACCTACATGTACAAAAATATTTATAGCAGCTCTTTCTGTGGTGGCCAAGAATTGGACATTGAGGGGATGCCTATCCATTGGGGTATGATTGTAATGGAATGTTATTGTGCTATAACAAATGAGCAGGATTTCAGGAAAACCTGGAAAGACGTGTATGGTCCGATGCCGAGCGAAGTGAGCAGAGCCGGGAGGACGTCGTACACGGTGACAGGCAATGCAAGGGTCTGAGACACCTCCAAAGGCCTCGTGATGGAAAATGCTGTCCACATCCAGAGAAAGAACCGTGGAGAGTGAATGCAGATCGAAGCAGACTCTTTGCTCTCTTTTGCTTCTGTTTTGTTTTCTTCTTTCTGGTGGTTCCTCCTGTTGGCTCTAATTCTTCCTCACAACATCACTAATGTGAAAACATGTTTAATGGGAATGTATATCAGATTGCACACTGTCTTGGGGAGGGAGGGGGAGAAAAATTTAAAACTCAAAAGCTTCTGGAAGTGATTGTTGATAAAATAAATTTAAAAAAAATAGGTTGCTCAGTGGGCCAGATTAGGTACACAATATACAGAAGCAAATGAACAAAGTAGCCAAAGATCCCAGCTATTGGGAGCTTTTTTTGCTTGCTCATGTCTATTTTGAGGTGAGTGGGAGCCAAGCTTGCACACAACCTGCCTGTGAATATCTTCTGTGGAACATACTGTAGATGCCCACTGGGGATAGACTGTAGATGAAGGGCACCAGTCCCAACTCTGCTTTTCTTGCATTTCAGGAGGAATACCCACAGGTGGAGATTCTTTGGCTTATGACTAAAGCCTGGAATATGGGAGTCTATCAGTATAGTGAGGGCATGTATGTAACTGCTGAGAAGTGGTGTGGCCTGGGAATTCGCTTTCTTGGCCATCTTGGCTCCATGAAGAAGTGCTATGAAGTGCAGGTAAGATAGAGACAAGAAAAAGGCCACTTGTCCAAAGGTGGGCTGGGCTATCATTGATAGCTGCTTGTGTTACACAGCACTTTTGAAGTTTTCAAAGAGTTTTCCATATAGGATCTTATTTTAGTAGTGACTTTCCTGTTACAGGAAGTCTTCAAATGGAGCCTTCTTGGTACTTGTCAGGAGTGCTGAAGATGCCTTCTTTTGAGTAGATTAATGAGCTCTCAGTTCTTTCCAGCAGTAAGATTCTATGATTCTAAGGATGGGAAACAGGAAGATTAAATGGATGGAGAGAAAAGGATTAGCTTCAGTCCAACGAAGGGACTAAAAAACTCTCTCAATGCCACTTTGACAGGGGCCTGGCCCAAAGCAGTGACAGTTTCATCCTAATGACTTTGAGCTTAGCACCAAGTTGGGGGGGGGAGTGACTCGGGCTTTAGACTAGCACCTATATTTTCAAGCTTGGTTCATGCTATGGTTAGTTTTCCTGAACTGATCTTTTTTCTCCTTTCTTCTTCTTTGCTACATGGGATGACTTGCTGGATAGAGAAGTTGGCGAGGACATATTGGGAAGTGTGGCACTGACTGAGGCCTCTAAGTTCTAGCCCTCCCAGAAAGACTTAGTAGGGAAAGATAGTTGATCTGAAGGGGTAATTAATGATATGATCCAGCAATGGTTTGTGTTATAAGTCACTGGGCAAACACTTTTCTTTCATCACTGCCTGGCCCTGAAGCACAGACCTAATGCAATAGGGCTCACCCCACCCTGACAAAGAAAAACGGGAGCCTCCTCTCTCCAGCAGCTGCCAGAGCTTCGGGAACGTAGGAGTCACAGGGGCGCAAACTCATCATGCGAACTTAGCTCCGACACTCTCTTTGGTTCTTTATCTGTTCTCTAAGCTTGCTGGGGTTTCTGTTTCCCAGATGACTGATGTATATGGGGAGGTCTTGGCCAAGGTGGAGAGAGATAAGAGCTTGCCTTCCAACGAAGAATAGGAGCTACCAGAACTTGGAGTGCATGGAGGTACTCAGTAACACAGCATCTAGGTCTGTTCTCATGATCTCTTGGAAGTTTTAAGGTTATGGGGTTAGATTGACTAAAATGACATGATTATTAGGGAAAATTGTCAGCAGACATGTTCTTAAGCCTTGGGTTCTGTTGTTCTGAGGACTAGTTCCTGTGTCCAATATTGTTCTAACTAATAAAAGTGGCTGTTCCTCCTTGCCATTTCTGTGTGCCATATCTCTGTCGTTCATCTCTGGTTCATTTATGGTAGAATTTTTTGAAAGTGGTTGAGGGCCCTCAGCCATTCCTCCCAGGTCTGTCTCTGAGTCTTCTTCAAGCTCAAATTCTCTGCAGGAAATGCATCCCTCCTCCCCTCCCCCTGATCCCCAAAACACACACACACACACACACACCACACACACACACACACACACACACGCACACACGCGCGCGCGTGTCAAGCATGCTTCCCAAATTCTCCCTAAGTAGGAAAAATATATCCTTTCCTCTCCCACTTCCAGTTCCTCAGAGAAGAGAGGACTCAGGGTAAAGGGCTGGGTGAGAGACATGATAGGTGTATTTGTCATTTCTGACTGGACGATATTCCATTACGCTTAGAAGAAGGACTATCATTCAAGCTCCACCCCGCGTCTTCCCTGACAATTCTCATGAAATCACAGGTCTGATGAACAAAAAAATGGCTCTTTATTTCTCTCTTTGACTTCCAGGACAGTTGAACCACTTGATAGGGTCTCCTGGTAATTCATCAGTGTGCTGCTTTCCCACACCCAGTTGGCAGTGTGAGGTGAAACGCAAGTAGTTTTCATTTACGTGTCTCCATTTGTGATTTGGAACATGTTTTCATGTGGTGTCTTACAATTTGCAATTATGTTGAAAACTGTTCATCTCCTTGAGATTATTTACCTATTAAAGAATAGGTGTTATGTTTTCATGTCAGTTCCTATATATCTTAGATATCAGAATTTTATCTATATTTGATTCAAGTAGAAGCAGATTTAGAAGCATTTTTCCCACTATACAGGTCTTCTTTTTATCTTAATTGTATTCATGAATTGGTTTTATTCACTTATTTCTATGTTTCCAATTTTTTCCTCATTTATTTAGCAAGGAATTGTTCCCCAAGCATTAGTTGTGGAGGTACCTCTTCCCGTTCTCTTCTCATTTCTATATATTCAGGTCACAAGCTTCTCATGATGGCACATGCTGGACAATGTTGCTTCAACCCTCATTTCTGCCAATGTCACAATTTGAATCCATTTTCAGTAACTTTGGTTTTAGAGTCTGTCAAACACTGAACTGCCATTGTTTATTTAATCACTTCCTCTAGTCTACTTCTGGCTTGTTTTTTAAATAGTACCGATTAGAATGACTTCCATTCATAATCGAATTTGAATTTGTTATGTTGGACCAACTCCATTCACACTTTTCATTGAGCTTCTAGACTCTGTTCTCCCAAATAAATTGTTATACTTGTGCCTAAAAAATCCCCTAGGCAATCTGTTATAACATTAGAGCTATAAATTAATTTAAATATCATTGTCATTATAATCATATTGTCCCCTTTCCCTTTATTTCTGTAATGTTCCATGTAAGTCTTACATGAGTCTCTGTAGACTCCACTAACTCCTGGATAGTTTATGTATTTTGTAGCTATTTTGAATGGAATTTATCACATCATTTCACACTGAGGTCTATTATATAGAAATGCTCATTATTTTGCCACCTTCCTGAAGATACAATCTGAATTCTTCACTGATTCTTTGGGGTTTTGTAAGTATGCCTTCAAGTCATCTGCAGATGAGGATGGTTCTATATTCTTTATACCAGTTAGATTTTTACTTTTGTTCTTTTGTTTTATTGCTATGGCTTGCATTTCTTGAATTATTTCAAATAATTGTGAAGACATCTCCTTACTTTACCCCTCTTTATACTTGGAAGGTTTCTAGTGTTTCTCCATCTCAAACAATGCCGTCATCTAGTTTTAAATGTTTTTGATCATGTTAAAGTACCCTTCCATGCCTGTTTTATATTTTTAGGGCTCTTAACATAAATATTTGGGGTTGTTTTTGGTCAAAGGTGTTTTCTGCATCTACTGAAATAATTGTGGGGTTTGGGCCATTTCTTGTTGTTTATACGATCAATTATATTGTTTCCCTATATTGAACCATTTTTGCTTCTGTGGTATGAATTTGATTTGGTTGTGGTGGATTGTTTTCTGGATGCATTTCTATAGTCTTCTTAAAAAAACGTTTATTTAGCATCAAGATTGATCAGTGAAATTGGTCTGAAGTTCTCTTTCTCTGCTTTGCCTTCACTTGGGCTCAGGAAGCTGCCTTAAGAATATTCAGTCTCAGGGCAGCTAGGTGGTACAGTGGATAGAGCAGTGGCCCTAAAGTCAGGAGGACCTGAGTTCAAATCCAGCCTCAGACCAAACACTTGACACTTAACTAGCTGTGTGACCCTGGGCAAGTCACTTAACCCCAATTACCTAAAAAAAGAAAAAGGAATATTCAGTCTCTATGCCCAAAGGGCTATAAAAATGTGCATACCTTTTGACCCAGCAACAGCACTTCTAGGGCTGTATCTCAAAGAGATCATACAAATGGGAAAAGGACCCACATGTACAAAAATATGTATAGCAGCTCTTTTTGTGGAGGCCAAGATTGGAAATTGAAGGGATGCCCATCCATTGGGGAATGGCTGAGCAAGTTGTGGTATATGAATGTCATGGAATACAATGGTGCTATAAGAAATGATGAGCAGGTGCTCGCTTCGCAGCACATATGCTAAAATGATACAGAGGAGATTAGCATGGCCCCTGCGCAAAGATGACACACAAATTCGTGAAGCGTTCCATATTTTTGGCTGATCAGAGAGGGATTGCAGGGATCTCTTGCTTTGCCCGTGCTTGGATCTGGGTCACAGTTCTGGGCAGTGGTTCTGGGGTGAGGAGGAGCGCTGGCGTGGTGGAGCTTGTAGTGGCTGTGGAGAGGAAACACTCCTCACAGTTACAGGACAGAAAGAAGTACTTGTGGTCACAGGCCAGGAAAGGAGTAAACACCTCGCCCCTTATCATACCACCTTGGAAGAACTGAAAATTTACAGGTCCCTACAAGTATCTCTGAAAACAGCTGTACAAACCCCTGAAGCTTGGGACAGTACATTCTCCACATTGGAAGCAGACTCTTACCTTAACAGAGTTTAAAACTCAAGTAATTGGCCGGGATCATGAGCAAGCAGCGCAAAAAGAGTCAGATTATATTATCTTACTTTGGTGAAAAAGAAGATCAAAACATACAACCAGAAGAAGACAACAAAGTCAAAGCTCCTACATCCAAAGCCTCCAAGAAAAATATGAATCAGTCCCAGGCCTTGGAAGAGCTCAAAAGGGATTTTGAGAAGCAAGTAAGGGAAGTAGAGGAAAAACTGGGAAGAGAAATGAGAGTGATGCAAGAAAATCATGAAAAACAAGTCAACAGCTTGCTAAAGGAGACCCAAAAAAATACTGAAGAAAATAACACCTTAAAAAATAGCCTAACCCAAATGGCAAAAGAGGTCCAAAAAGCCAATGAGGAGAAAATGCCCTAAAAAGAAAAATTGGCCAAATGGAAAAGGAAGTCCAAAAGCTTACTGAAGAAAATACTTCCTTAAAAATTAGAATAGAGCAATTGGAAGCTAGTGACTTTATGAGAAATCAAGACACTGTAAAACAAATCCAAAAGAATGAAAAATTAGAAACAATGTGAAATATCTCATTGGAAAAACAACTGACCTGGAAAATAGATCCAGGAGAGAGAATTTAAAAATTATTGGACTATCTGAAAGCCATGATCAAAAAAAGAGCCTAGACATCATCTTTCAAGAAATTATCAAGGAAAACTGCCCTGATATATTAGAACCAGAGGGCAAAATAGAAATTGAAAGAATCCACAGATCTCCTCCTGAAAGAGATCCCCAAAGGAAAACTCCTAGGAATATTGTAGCCAAATTCCAGAGTTCCCAGGTCAAGGAGAAAATATTACAAAGCTGCCAGAAGGAAACAATTCAAGTACTGTGGAAACACAATCAGGATAACACAAGATTTAGCAGCTTCTACATTAAAGGACCGCAGGGCATGGAATATAATATTCCGGAGGGCAAAGGAGATAGGATTACAACCAAGAATCACCTACCCAGCAAAACTGAGTATAATCCTTCAGGGGAAAAAATGGTCATTCAGTGAAATAGAGGACTTTCAAGCATTCTTGATGAAAAGACCAGAGCTGAATAGAAAATTTGACTTTCAAATACAGGACTCAAGTGGAACATGAAGAGGTAAACAGGAAAGAGAAATCATAAGAGACTTATTAAGATTGAACTGTTTACATTCCTGCATGGAAAGATGATATTTATAACTCATGAGACCTTTGTCAGTATTAGGGTAGTTGGAGGAAAAAAATTATATGTATGTATATGTAGATAGATAGATAGAGGGCACAGGGTGAGTTGAAGATTAAGGGGTCATATCTGGAGAATAAAATTAAGGGATGAGAGAGGATTATACTGGAGAAGAAGAAAGGGAGAGGTAGAATGGGGTAAATTATCTCACAAAAAAAAAGTCTCTTACAGTGGAGGGGGAAGGTGAAAGGGAATGAGTGAATCTTATTCTCACAGGATTTGGCTTAAGGAGGGAATAACAACACATTCAATTGGGTATGGAAATCTGTCTTACCCTACAGGAAAATAGGGGAGAAGGGGACAAGAGAGCAGGGGATGATAGAGAGGAGGGCAGATTGGGAAAGGGGTAATCAGAAGCAAATACTTCTGAGGAGGGACAGGGTCAAAAGAAAGAATAGAATAAATGGAGGGCAGGATAGGATTAAGGGAAATAGAGTTAGTTTTTCACAACATGTCTACTATGGACGTGTTTTGCATAACTGCATGTGTATAACCTATATTGAGTTGCTTGCCTTTTCAATGAGGGTGGGTTGGGGAGGGAGGGAGAAAATTTGAAACCTAAAGTTTTAAAACCATATGTTTAAAAAAAATATTTTCACATGCTACTGGGAAATAGGAAATACAGGAAATGGGGTACAGAAGTCTATCCTGCCCTACAGGAAAACAGAAGGGGAAGGGGATAAGAGAAGGGGGGAAGAGATAGAAGAGAGGGCAGACTAGGGGAAGGGATATTCGGAATGCATGCCATCTTGGGGTGGGGGGAGGGGAGAGATGGGGTGAAAATGTGGAACTTAAAATCTTGTGGAAGTAAATATTGAAAACTAAAAAGAAATGAATTTATATATATTAAAAAAAAAAAAGAAATGCTGAGCAGGCAGACTTCAGAAAAACCTGGAAAGACTTATATGGACTGATGCTGAGTGAAGTGAGCAGAACCAGGAGAAGGTTGTACACAGTAACAGCCACGTTAACAGCCACATTGTGCAATGGCTTTGATAAACTTAGCTCTTCTTAGCAATGTAAGGATCTAAGACACCTCCAAAAGTCTCATGATGGAAAATGCTATCTACATTCGGAAAAAGAACTGTGGAGTTGGAATGCAGATTGAGGCATACTGTTTGCTTTTTTTTTCCTCCTGTTTTGTTTTTTCTTTCTTGTGGTTCCTCCTATTGGTTCTAATTCTTCTTTATAACATGACTAATGTGAAAATATGTTAAACATATTTAACATAGGAATGTATACATAGAACCTGTATCAGATTGCAGGATGTCTTGGGGGGGGGATTAAAACCCAAAAGCTCATAGAAGTGAATGTTGAAAACGAAAAATAAATTAATAAAAAAAATGATTGAAGTGTTAAAAGAATATTCAGTGTCCTCTGATTTTGAAAGTATTTCTTATAACACTTGCATTAATAGCTCATAAATGTCTAATGAGAATTCACTTGCAAATCCAATGATCTAGTATATTTTTTTATGAGATTGGGTTAAGCTCTTTGTTTTGTGCTGATTAATTTGAATTCTCAGGTTTGGTGACATATAATTGCATATAGAATTTTCTGATGATTGTCCCCCCCTTTTCTTTATGGTTTTATCAGTTTTACATTTTCATTTCCTTCTTTTAGCAAGCTTTAGGCTCGCTCATTTTATTTTCTGTTCGTTGATCCTTTGATTACTTCCAGTTTTCTGAGAGAGAGAATTTCCTGCGGACTGCTTTCGATGTGTTCTGTAAGTTTTGCTCTGTATTGTTGCTTCTATGCTTTATTCAGGATGCCATTACTCAGTATCTACTTAGGTTTACATATTTTGCTCCTATTTTTTTTATTCCTTACTGTTTTGTGTTATGGTCTGTAAAGGAAATGTTTATTGTATCTACCTTTTTACATATGTTTATACCCCAGCGTATGATCAGTTTTTATAGAATATTGAGAAATAGGTGCCTTTTAACATTCCCATTCAGTCTCCCATATCAGTCAAATCTTGGTTTATCCAATATTTCATATACATGTGTGTATATATGTGTATGTATGTAAAATGATTTCTTTGCCAAATTTATCCAGTTCTGAGAGAGGAATATTAGTCTCTTAATATGTTACTACAAATGTCTTTTTATTATTCATCTAGCTATTTTTTTCATTCTCTATGGTGACCCCCAGCTAGATTTTATAGAACACCAGAATGCACTTTGCCCAGTGCAGGGTCAGGAATAAGACCCCCAATGTTATCACCACCCTCATCCCTTTTTTGCTTTGTAAGTGATGGTTCTTCATTCTTCCCACATATCAGATTTAGCATTTGAAACAAACACACATTTTTCCAAGAAGATCTCTGAGCCACACAATTCATTGCCAACTATTGTTTATTAAAAAATATACGTCTCCTTGGAAGGAACAGGGTAAACCAACTAGTGTCAAGGTTACTTTTAGTCTTTGCCTTTCTTCTCTGGGAGGGAGCGAGCTGTGGCCAGAAAATGCATTGTAGGTCACAGCAAGGAAGCTGCCTTTCTATGCTAATCCCTCCCTTCCCTGGCCCCAGTATAGTGCCCAGGCAAAGCTGCTATTCCTTTCCCCTGGCACCCCAGCCTTGGACAGCTAGTCTATGTTGCTGGTAGAATAACAGTTTAATATGTTTCCGAAATTTGGCTAGGAGTTCCTAACTGTCTTAAGTACTGGGGGGGGGCGGTATTTACAGTGTTCCAGCTGCCATGGGCCAGGAAAGTGGGGTACAGTGCACCAGCTCTGGGGTCCAGATACTCCCACATCTTCCCTGCGTCACCAGTCCACAGTGGGTAAGAGTGAGACACGGCAAGGTTACCTACCTTAGCCAGGTACCTGGCCTTCAGGGGGAGAATAGGGATAGAGCCCCGTCTGTGCTTTTTGTTTTGCTCTGGTCAGGCCTATCAGGAAAGGGCTTCTGCTGCTGTTGCTGCCACTGATGGCAGTTGTGGGCGTATGCCCTGGGGAAAAGCAAGGAGGCTTGATTTCTCACTGTTACATGGATGTAGCTCTGCAGCTCAAATGTGCCCAATTTGAGTCTACTTTCCTCCCAAAGTAACAGTAAGCTAAGCAGCTGCTGGTGAGGGGGTGGAATAAAGGCTTAGTGGAGTGTTGAACCTTTCAGGTCCTAAGTAGTCAGAGCTGCTTCTTCACTGCCCCAGTACAAAAGGGAAAGAACAGCTCCCTGCTCCATTATCTCACCCCCACCAGCCCCTGGGAGCCTTCTGTATCCTTGGCAGCTAAACATTGGCCCCCAGGGCCTGGCCTTATACTGGCCTCACAACATTGTACAATGAGATGCTCAGTTAGTAAAGGTGACATCCAAAATCATGAAAAGGCGGACACAGCAAGGAGCACACTGTGGTTTTGGTTTTAGAGCAGCTGAAAACAAACAAAAGGAAACCTCCATGCAAACAAGTCTGGTGGGGCGGCTGACCCCCCCCCACCCCTGCCTGTGGAAGAGACAACAAAGCTTGGCTCTCAGGAGGATGGATGAGCACGTGGGGCATCCACCACGTTTTGTACCATTTTCTATCACTTTCCTGCCAATTGGGTGTCAGAAAGTTAAGAGATCCTTCAGTACCGTCAGTAAAGTCCCTAAAGGGTTTTCTAGTCCAGCTTGTGTGTGTATACATATATATATATATATATATATATATATAAAATGTTGGTGTATAATATATATATATATATATAATAATTTCTATATATTTTATATAAATTACATATACATATAAATAAGATGCTTTCAGTTGCCATTTACATCGCACTGTTCAGAGCTTCAAGACAGTGACACAGATGTAGGAGAAATGCCCTGGGAGCTCGTTGGCATGTGGAGCCCATTTCAAAATCCAGGTTTTCTGTCCTGAGTCTATTGACAATCCCTCAGCCTTCTTCTCTGCTGCTTGGCTTGTAAAGAAAAACAATGACTGATGGAGTGGCGCCTGAGCTGCTCCTGGGAAGGTCCATGCAGGAATGGGCATAGTCACGTGATGAGCGAGATGACATCATCCCAACAAAAAGAAACAGGACTAGAAAACTCAATTTTGCAACAGATCTAAAAAAGGGGACAGGAACAGTAGTCATTTGTTCTCCCTGGAGGGACAGGAAGGAGGGGGCTTGGGTTTTGCTCACAATGGTTTGGGGGGAAGGGTTGGGAGGAGGCGAGGGGAGGTGATGGTCTTCAGAGTTTTTCAGGGGATGGGACCCAAATGTAGTGCCCAGACTGGTCCTCGATAATTTGTTTGATTTTGTTATAAATTTCCTCCAGTGAGTCACCCTGTACAATGGCTAAAGAGAAGAGAACAGTTATCACTGTGTCCCATGTTGGGGCACAACCTCCCCCACTCCCCAAGGATAGTCTGCAAGTGTGGTAGGGGACTGACCAAAAAAGGGTCGGGATGGTTTCTTCACCATCTTTGTGACTCTTTGTGAGCCCACAAACCTCTTCCTTCTTAGCGTAATGTTTTTAAATAATTGAAGGAAATGCTAACTTTCAGTTACAGGTTATTGAAAATTAAGATGGAATCTGTTTTCTATCCAAGGGCAGCATTTGCCTCCCTGCTCTAGAGGCCCCAGCTGGGGCCTTAAAGTCATGTTGTGACCCTAATTTGACAGCCTTGAAGAGAGAGCTAAAATAACCCCAGTGACCCAGGAAAGAGGGGGAAAGGCAGCTCTGGCTACTGCCTCACTGGGTCGCTAATGGGTTTAAGCATCAGAGGAAACAAACTTTAACCCAAAGATCAGCTCCTTTGACTCGAACTCACCTGTGAAGTACTCGCCAAACTCCTGCTCGAGTTTCATGGCCTTGTCAAAGATCTTGTTTGCTTGTTCATATGTCTGTCTTCGGTTCATTTCCCTGTCAGACATGGGGAGGAGAACCACTGTCAGGCAGCCAGAAAAGGAAAGTCCAGCCTCCCTTCCCCTATCTAAAAGACCACTTACACGAGGGCCTCCACAGACTTGGGCTTGATGAAAACAGCAACGGGGTAAAGCTGGGCTTGTTGCAGCCGCTTGATGGCATTGCCAGACACATCTAAGATGCAGTGCTTCCCCTGGGGGAGAAAGGGGAACTGTGAACCTTCCAGAAGGACCTGGGGCTAATAGCCCTTGGACCTTGCCCTCGAGGAAAAAGCAAAATCAAATTGCTATGTGAGCTGCTGGGGCTGAAGGGCATAAGCCTCCCCCTCAACCCTCCAGAACCAGAGAGGAACCAGAAATTGGGGCCTAGAGCATCAAGTCAGTCCTCGTCTTGTGTGTCTGGAGCCCTCACCCTATTTGTGTCTCATTGTGTGCCTACGTCTCTCTCTGCCTTACATCTATCTGTCCTCTCCTCGACACAGTGCTGTCCAGATAAACAACCGCTATTTCTCAAGAAACCTGGCTCAGGGCAATGGTGCCCCAGGCTCTCTATCCTGCCAACAAGAGGCTCTCTCTCCCCATTCCCTAGTGGGTAAAATTGCCTGTCTGGTCTCACCCTCTCTGCCACAGCTCGGACTGACTGGATGCTGGTGCCGTAGAGATTGTCATTGAATTGCCCTGCTTCTATGAACTTGTTCTCCTGGATGTCTTTTTCCATCTGCTCCCGGGACGCCACAAAGTGATAGTCCTGACCGTCCACCTCATTTTCTCTTCGAGGCCGAGTGGTGTCTAAAAGAGGAACACCAATTTGGGGCAGGCTGGCTGGCCCCTCGACGTCACAGAGGCTTACATCCCACTACACCACATAGGGCAGGCAGGTCAATAGTCTTCCTGCTGCACAATCCCAACAGAACACACCCCAATTTAGGCCCTGGAGTCCCTGAAACGGACTGTTCCCCTAAGAAACATGAAGTGATTGACGGTCCTAACTCTCCTGGGCTCTTACGTGGTACACAGGATCCAAATTTATGTGGGAACTCCGAAATCAGGTCATCATTGACTCGGTCCTTCATGGGGCCCAGGATGATCACTGGCCTTGCATAGTGAACTAGAAAGAATGTATGTACACAAGGTCAGTGACTAGTCAGGAGGGCTCCCCCCACCTCCCAACCTGGGGGTCCATCATGATTCAGAACAGAGTGAACTGAGCTCTAAGATCTACTTCCAGACCTATCAAAGCCCCTCTTATTGAGGGAGGCTTGAGTTGACAGGAGTACCTCTACATTGGGATCAGCAGTTCACCAAGGTCCCAAAAGCCAAAGAACTGGTGATGCTGAAAGGCTGTGGAAGGGGAAATGAGACCCCGACCTTTCTCTCCATTAGCCCCACTCAAACCAGCCTTTCTCATCTTTAGGGATTTGTTCCTCTCCTGCCCTCTTGGGAGTCAAAGGAAGCCCCATTTGGAGGGGCATGAAAAGCCAAGGTTGAATTGCCTTTGCCAAATAATGGGGCAAAGTGATGGTCCTGCAGGCTCCCCTGGGCCCTTCCTTCAGCTCCCCATTAGGGCAACTGCTCACAAAGGGCTTACTTTCTTGCCGTGTCACTGGCTCATAGGATAAAATTGTGTCCTCCTGTCCTTCTGTAACAAAGAGGGAAAAAGCCATTAGTGTGTCTTAAGGGTTGCCTCCCAACCAGGGTCAGAAAACTACTCTGAAGATCAAAGGAATTGGAAGTAGTGATTCCTCTTTCTTTTCTGGAGACAGTGACCAACAGGGCTCCCATTGAAATGGAAAGCTCTCCTCAAGTGTGTGCACCTATCCCTCACTGCAGAAGAAAGGAGCTGAGGCAGATGCGGCACCCTCACCGCCTTGGGCAAAAACCTCCCTGGACTTTCAGCAGTATTTAGAGAATACCTACCTGGCCTTTACAGACAAGGCAGAGTTCTGCTCCAATAGCCCCCAGGACATTTCACCCTACACAGCCTCCCAAGGCCCTACTCCTCTACCTCTCCCCAAGGAGGCCTGGGCTGGTTTGGGGGGCAAGCTACAAAGAGAACCGACCACTATGGGGAGGGAATCTGGGGCCACATCTCCTACAAAAGCAAATTCCAGGCAGAGTCCCTGATAGTTCCCTTGGAACCAGAGCGGTATAGAGCCCCCTTTTTCTTAAGCTTCTTGAAGGCAGAGATTTCTACGGCACTGAACGCACAAATGCCTGCTGCTATGTAATAAGTATTTAGGAAATATTTGTTGACTGGAATTAATCTGAGGCCTCAACATGTCACCACCATTAAGCTACCACGTGGCTTCAGCTGTGAAAGAAGGCCACTGCCAACCACAGCCTCTGCACTTCCCTTTAGCCCAACAAGCCTTCCTGTGTGCGTGCACACGCAAGCTCCAACCCCCAACAAGGGGAATTGGCCACAGCATCTCCAAGACTTCAAATGAGAGCAGTCAGGGCAACACCTGAGTAGAAGCGGTAGCCATGCAGCAGAGGAGTGAAAATGGTTAGAATGGCAGATGAAGCCACGAGACATGGCAAAGACACACACTTACTGGAACTGCTTTCGCTGTCACTGGTGTTGGATGTCACGCCCTCTGCAAGCCAACAAGAAAGAGACTCCAATTCAGAACACACCATCGAGAGGTCACACGGCACAGTCCCAAAACGCCAATGCTCTGGGAGACAAGACACTGAGGTGGGAGCCAAGCCGGCTGAGAAGGAACAGCGTGGACCTCTGAGGCATTCCAAAAGGTGCATGCCATCAGCTAATCATTAAGCATGGCACACATCCACTTTCTTTCTAACACCAATCTGCCAGAGGTGGACAGAGATGAAGAGAGAGAGAAAGAATGCTAGCTTTCTTCCCTGTCCCCTGGCTCCTAACGGTTCCAGACCAAGACAACTTAAACGTTTCTTCCCCCTAGACTTTTCTCATCCAGCTCCTGCTAACAGTCTAAACACCCGATGGGGCAGGAAACCTTCACTGAGCCCGACAGAAAAAGCAGGCTTGGCCAGAGGGGACAGGAAAAGGTCAATAGGATCATCTTTGTCTCCCACCACAAGACAGATGAACATGTTATGACATGAATGGACAAACAAACAGGGACACTCAGTGGACTAGGCAGCTTGGGGTGTAAGAGGCAAAAGCTAGAGCAGAGAAGCCAAAAACAAATTTCAATTTGGCACAAACACCCCTTTCTCCCCTTCTACCAGTGTGGGCACATGAAGATGAGACATGAACAGATTGAAGAAAGAGGCTGGGCAAACAGCTGGTTTCAGCCAAGACAGCACTATTCTATGGAATGCTGTGGCCTTCCCCCACCCCCAACTCCTAGAGGTATTTTCCTCAAGGTGTTGTCCTGGTAAAGCCCCAAATCCCCAGGACACGATGTAATAAGTTCGTGTTAAGTGGACCCCTGAGATTGGCTGCCTCTGAGCCCTATTGCCTGAGTGACCTCAACATAAACCACAGGCACTGCCACCAGATCATCCCATCACTTGCTCTTTTCATTCCTACTCTAGGATTACTTTCCAAAATTGAGAGGTCAGTACCTTCCCAAGAGCCAACACCCAAACCAGCTGGTCCTTTTATGTTGCCAGGGTACACACACACACACACCTCAGTCTGGCATAGTCATTGTATGGTATGAGCCCTTTAGGGCTTCCATCCCACTGGTATCCCAGGAGAGAATACATTCCACCAAGCAGCCAGTGGCCCTCTGTCCCCTCCCCTCCTCAGGGCTCCTGAGCATGAGGAGAAGAAGCCGGGTCTTTACCCTGGAATGAGATTTCTTGACCCTTGCTTGCTTCTAAGACTTTTCATCACCCACCACTCAGGGCAGCTCTGAATGTGGGCTCATTGTTAGGCCCCTGTGGGCTTTGGAGGACACAAATCCTGCTCTGTCCAGGACCAGCCCCCCCCCCCCTTAGAGGCATCAGTTGTACACACTTCTCATCCCCACCCCCACCCAGATTGCTCTGTAATGCCGCCAGAAATGGAAAGTGAAGAGGGTGTAAGTTTGACTTACTCAGATTCTTTGCTCCATAATAATCGTCACTTAACCCAGGGAAGTCCTGATTTCACAGACAGCAAGGAAATAAAAAGAGAAAGGAGGAAGAGATTGGAGAGAGAAGATGGGGGGATGGGGGAAGGAAGAAGGGGGTGGGGAAGAAGAATACAGAACCCAGTGAACATTAGTGACAGGTGAACAGAACCAGTGAGGCACACAGCTCTACTCAAGTAGCATGGCAGCAGAAATAGCATCTCGGGGTCAAGCGAGACATCTGGCTTCTCACTTGCAAATTCACTGCTAGTACCAAGGCCCAGGCCTGAAAGGGAATACCCAGAAGGAAAGATCTTCCACGGGGACCCTGGCCAGCACGTGGCACTTTGGCTCAAGAGGACTTGTAAAACTTCCTGGTGGGTCTCTGAAAGCTCAAATACCTCTGTGGAGAAGGGAAAGAGGCAGAATGACCATCACCTAGCACTGATGTAGTCTGGCCAAACCCATCATTTAAGTCTTCATACCACTTTGGAAATGGCCTCCAAAGACTGACCTATGATGTATAGAACCCAAAGGAAGAGCCCAGTTCCTAGAGAAGAGGCACCAGGCAGCCCCTTCTGCTGGCCCACAGAATTTCTGAGTTGCCCCAAAGCCCCCCCTGCTGAGGTGGGTCTCTGAACACGAAGACACACAGCATTCTTGCCAGGCTGGGCTCTGTACTCCTTGGACACCTACATGGAATGGGAGCCATGGTAGCTAGCTCAGGGCCAAGATTTCCCCTACAATTTCGGGGCTGAACCAACCTGATCTGCTTTGCTGCTAGAAATGTCTTTGTCCCAGGATGGAAACATGTCACTTCTACCTAGAGTGGTGTACCAGGGTAATGTCCCCAAACAGCAGCTCCCCATACAAACCCCAATAGTGCATCAGTCTCTTGCCTAGTCCCATCAGCCCAGAACTCCAGGGGTGTTCTACATAAAGCAGGAGAGCCCAGCTAGGCACCAACGAGAGCCCACTGGGCAGGTCTGACCTAGTGTTTCAGGTTCGGCTTAGCACGATCCAGTTCTGAGGCCTGGAACAGGTACCAAACATCAGCCTCGGGCTAATTTGGCTCGCTTTTGTGTCTTCTTACAGCCCCTAACTTGTTTCTCCCAGTAAGTCTTTATTTGAACAGATGGTTTAAGACTTTTCCCTCAATGTCAGTGAAGAAACAAGAAAGTGCCATAAAGATGGGTCCCCTGCCCACACCAGAAAAGGGTCGCATGCACATTTTGAGCATATGTGGAATTCTGGATGGTGGCAGAGGACTTGGGGTCCATCCCAGCTCTGCTACTTACTCCCCGTGTGGCCCTGAGCAAGTCTCTTCCCCTCTCTGGACTTTAGTCTCTTCCCTAGTATTAGGAGGGTTAATAGAGTAGATGACATGTCTCTAACACCCCTACAGAAAAAAAGGTAGTCCTGGATGAGAGAGAGGGGAAAGGATGAGAGGAAAAAGCCAGGGGAACACCAGTGACTCCTCTCCCTTTACCAGGCTTTACAACATGATTTAAAACTGCTCAGACCCCAGTGCCTGCCTGACAGCCTGGAACCTTGGAGCCCTCGCCATTCGCCTCACTGGGGAGCCAGCCGGGCAGGTGACGCCAATTCGCCCCAACCACCCCTAGCCCTTTCCAGTCTTCTTAAAAAAAGAAGGAAGGAAGAAAAGAAGACAGCAGGCTGCTGGATGGTTTGCTCTCCCTACTCAGCTGCTACTTACGTTCCTGTCCGTTGCTCTCCTGGGTCACGTTCTCTTTGCTCTTGTAAAATGGAAACTTTCGAGAGAGGCGAAAACTCTTTTTACGTTTCGTTTTGATCGACTGTGAAAGAACATGAAGATGGCGGGGAAGGACAGAAAAAAAACAGAACAATGGATTTTAAAGCATGCAAGGAAAATTAAAATGAAGACAACGAGGAGGCTAGGTCAAGGACAATTTCTCACAAATGGATTCTAGGAGATCAATGAAGACTGATGGAAGAGAAGACTTATGTGTTCAAGGGATGGATGTTAAGAGGTTCCAGCTCCCTAGTCCAAACTCCCGGCATCCACTGGCACTTCCTAAACAACAAAGATGGGCTCCTCCTGGGCTCCTGCTCTAAAAGTGCCACTTACAGAGATGGAGTCAGCTACTCCAGGCCCTTCTTTCCCCTCCTGCTCTGCGAGTTCTCTGCTCTGTGAAGCTTGGAGGAGAAAAGGGGTAAATGGAGAGGACCCCTCATGCCTCATTTGTTCTGGGTGGAGTTTGGCCCTCGGCAGCTAGCTGCCAAGGCCCTTGCGCCAGCGAGACGTGGTATGTCCTGGGAACTGCCTCTGTCCAGGAACCCTGCAAGATTTGTAGCTGCTGAAGCTTCCACGTGTTGTTTTCTTTTCCCTAATTTTTCAGTCTGCCCACAGGCATCCTGGCTTCTAGGCTGCTCCGATTCCACTGCAACTCCAAGAACCATCTGCCCAGGATGAAGGGAGGTGAACAATCCATGTTGGCCTTGGACACTTCAACCTGTTCTTTGCCTTTCGGAAGATCAGCCAGTACCGTTCCAAGGGCAGAGTCGGCCCATGTTCTCCCACGCCTCAGACAAGACTCTGCACGGTCTGGCGGCTCGTTTCCCAAGGCACCACACTTACTTACCCTGTTAGCCTCAATCATCCCTGTCCTGGCATGGAACTTCACAGTTTTTAATCGGGCTCGTTCTTTCTTTTCCACCCTGTTTGGAGGTCAGAGAGAAGTCCTGGTTACTGCCCAGCATGCCTGCATTTAGCTGTGGCTCAGACTCCTGTCAATTATGTGGCCTCTCCTAAAGTTGCTCAGCACCCAAAGGAAGCTGAGATGGAGCATAGGGACAAGCTGTACTACTGAGGCCCTGGATTTTATCCCAACCCTAAAGGAAGACAGGGGCTCCTCACATAGATAGGCCAATACTCACCTCTTCTTGCTAGGGATCACACCAATTTGTTCACTCTCCCCATGGGGGGTGACCAGTCTGGCCTGCCACCACTCATCATCAGAAGCATTAATGACATGCAGAATGTCACCATAAGAGAAGCTGAGCCCCTGGCTTGGCAGACAGCTGTCCCGGGTCCGGTCATAATCAAATAAAGCCCTAAAAAAACAGAGAAGAAAAACTCCCTATGAGCCCCGACAACGACACCAAAGGTATTTATTTGGAGGGAACCTCCAGGCTTCCTGCAGTTACATCTTCAGAGGAGTAACCTCATCTCCCAGGTTCTAGTCACAGTAAAGAACTCCTAGCAGCCCCTCTTCATGCCCAGACATTTCCATAAGTATCCTGGGAAACAAGGGGATAAAGTAGCCCTCCCTTTGCATGACCTCCTCATTCAGGTTAAGATCTCGCCTCTCCCAAGAGCTATGTGTTTTTGCACCCAAGCATTTACCAAAAACTTACAATGGGTGAGGCCTTGTGACAGTCACTACAGCTCAACACATAGTCCCTGTCCTCCAGAAGCTTGTAATCTAGTCTGGGAAAACAGGATATACCCATAAAAGTGAGGATGCACTGCCAGATATTGTTACATGCAGTCCAGACCGTAGGTGCCAGAGGAGGCAAGAGCAGAGGAGGAGCTGGGGGTGGGTAGAACCAATAAAAGGTTAGCACCCTAAAGTGGCCCTCTTTTCAGAGGCTGTGATGTGTCCTACGTCAGCCAGACTTTGCCTGAAAAGTTTCAATTCTCCTTGTTTCCCACACTACAGTTAACAGAGAAGGGAAGGTGAGGTCAAGGAAAAGGGAGGCCAGAAGAAACACACCTTGTGTTCATGAGCAAAAAGCTGACCATCCTAACTCTATAGTCAATGCTTCCCACAGGAGAGAAGTGGGAAAGACGTGGAGTGGGAGTTGTTTGACTGCTTCAGGGGTGTGCTCAGTAGCCCCACGAGCTACTTTATAATCTTATGCAGCTGAAGTATCAGCCTCTGAAGAAAGTATAACAGTAATTGAGTAAATTTATTGAATCAGATTTTGTGTCTTCTAGTATTTCTTTTGTGTGTATAAAATAAATACTTGTTCCACACATGGGGGGAAAAGGCTACTGTAAGAAGACACATCCAGAAACAAGAAGCTTAATAACAGACTGGATATGTGAGGGGAGTGAGAGAGAAGATGGCACCAAGGTTGCAAATGTGGGTAACTGGAAGGATGCTTGTACTCTCAACGCTGATAGGGGAGCTCCAAAATTAAAGATAATGAGCTCTGTATTGAACATGGGAATTTTCAGAAGCTTAAAGGACATCCAATTCCAGATCCCCAAAAGGCAGCTCAGGAGAGAGACCAAGGCTGGATACAGAGATCTGGGAATCCTCTGCATAGAGATGAGCATGGAACCCATGGGAGCTGCTGAGATCACCATCAAGAGAGCCGTGGTTAGTGGGCGTGGCTTGGATGAAAATCCAGCAATAGAGAATGAGTAGGAGTGTCAGAGAGGCAGGAGGAGAAAACCAAGTGAGGAGTGTCATAAAAATGCATAGAAACCACATGTACAAAAACAATTATAGCAGCTCTTTTTGTGGTGGCCAAGAATTGGAAATTGAGAGGATGCCCATTCATTGGGGAATGGCTGAACAAGGTGTGGTGTATGAATGGAATGGAACACTATTGTGCTATAAGAAATGATGAGCAGGTAGACTTCAGAAAAACCTGCAAAGACTTATACAAACTGATACTAAGTGAAGTGAGCAGAACCAGGAGAACGCTGTACACAGTAACAGCAACATTGTGTGATGACTAAGGTTGATAAACTTAGCCCTTTTCAGCAATGCAAGGATCTAAGACATTTCCAAAAGTCTCATGCTGGAAAATGCTATCCACATCCAGAGAAAGTTTGAATGCAGATCGAAGCATACTATTTGCTATTTTTTTCCTTCTGTTTTGTTTTGTTTCCTCTTTCTGGTGGTTCCTCCTATTCCTTACAACATGACTAATGTGAAAATGTTTAACAGGAATATATATGTATAGCCTATATCAGATTGTGCGCCATCTTGGGGAGGGAGGTGGGGAGAGAGGGGAGAAAAATTTAAAACTCAAAAGCTTCTGGAAGTGATTGTTGATAAATCAAAATAAATTAATAAAAACATTTTTTTAATTAAAAAAAACATAGAAGAGGAAATATCTAAAGAGGTCGGGTGACTGATGGTCCAAAGCTGCAGAGGAGTCAAGGAGGATGGAGTGTTGACAAGGGGCTAGTGGATTTCACCATTAAGAGATCACCAATAACTTTGGAGAGAGCAGTTTGGGTGGAATGATGAGGTCAAAAGCCAGACTGTAGAAGGTTTTTAAGAGGAAGTGAAAGAACAGAGTATAGGCAGCTTTTTCAAGGACTGGATGAAAAGGGAAAGAGAAATCTAAGCTGACAAGCTAGTGAGGATGGTGAGATCCAGCGAAAGGTTTTTAAGGCTGGAGAAGACATGAGCATGTTTGTAATTAGCAAAGAAAGTACCAGTAGTAGATAGGGAGAGACTAAAGATTAGACAGTGGGGGCAATTTGCTAAAGAAGACAAGAAGAGACAGGATTGTGAGTACATGGAACATGACTGAGTTGAAAAAGGAGATGGTGGGGAGATGAAATCAGAAGTATGTGTAATGAAGAGAAGATAACGGCTTTTCCTTCCTTGTGAAAAACCTCTGTTTTTTCAGTGAAGTATGAGATGAGATCCCTATCAGGGCAGAGGGAGGCGTTGCTGTGGGACACCTGAGGAGAAAAGAGAAAGTTTGGAATAGGATTGAGTCATTTAGGGAATGATTGAAAAATTTCCTTCTTGTAGTGAGGGCCCAGTTGAAATTAGTTGTTACAAATTTATAATGGACCCAGTCCATATGGTCTTGTGATTTCCTCCAGTTCTATTTAGCAACACATGAGCAGGAGTGAAGGAGGCAAATGGTTAGAGTTTGGCAAAGAGTGACCTGGTAAGGAAGTTGCATTCTTGAAGAACTCCATGTGGTGTGACCAGGGGAAATGGGGCACCCTGGAAGTGTCCCAGGACAAAGGTCCATGAGGCTTTAAAGCTCCACCTTGGGGCAGCAAGGTGGCGCAGTGGATAGAGCACCGGCCCTGAAGTCAGAAGGACCTGAGTTCATATCCAGCCTCAGACCAAACACTTGACACTTACTAGCCATGTGACCCTGGGCAAGTCACTTAACCCCAATTGCCTTAAAAAAAGAAAAGAAAAGAAATAATACTTCTGCCCATAATCTCCTTGGAGTCTTACCATGTGGGGAAGGGGTGATGGCGTGCAGGGAGAGGCCTAGCATGAGCCCTGTTGTGCAAAGGAGGAAGCCAAGGCTCACAGAGTTGACCTGCCCAGGCCCACAAAGACAGAAAACCCCTGAGGCAGGCTTTGAATACTGAGCTTCCTGCTACAAGGGCACCAGAGTCTGCTGCTTCTCAAAGAGCAGAGACCAGTTAAGTGTGAGGAGAGCAACAGAGCAAAAAGCATGAATTTTTGAGAAATCAGCACAGCCTTCCTGGAGGTGGTGCTAAGATTTGAGCCTGGTGGCCTGGAAACCCAAAGGAAGATTGCAACAGGCAGAATCTGGGTCAAAAGGAGCGACAATAAGGGCCCTGAGATCCGGCCCCCGCCCCCCCCCGAAAGTCACCAGTAATTCTGACTATTGGATATTTTCAAGAACTCCCACCTAAGTCAACAACAATGAACCTAACAGACAACATTGCCAGGTGGTGGGCAGTAGGCCTGGGATGATGGCTCACCACTCCTTCCCTTGCCTTCTGCTGTGCCCAATGGGTAGTTCTCAGAAGTGGCTCATAGGACTGGGGGAAAGGGCTGGGGAGGGAGGGAAACATTTATGATTACCCTGATGCCCCTCACCGACACTATCCTCCTTCTGGTGGGGCCAGAGCCCATTCCACCTCCTGTGGACACGAAGGCCTACAGAGGGCTCCTTGCCCCCCCAGTGCCCAGATGTTGGCACTCTCTGGGTTTCTCTGAGGCCTGCCATCCCCACCATGGATGAAGGAAATTCCTAAGGCTGGACAGCTGAGGCCGCTGTGCCTTTCCCCAACTCCTGCCCCCAGCATCTAGCACATCCCATGTTCCAAATGGGGCACCTACTGCCATTGGGTTTTACTGTTCACCTTTGACTCAGTTTCCCATCCTTCCTCTGCCACTTTCTATGGAGCCACCAAATGAGGGTTGCACTAGATCTCCAAATCTATGACTATGGCAGTGAATGAAGCTGAATGAGGATTTTAATGATTCTATTTTATCCTTAAGATGTATTTAAAAAGAGTAATAAATTCTTGATTTTGTTTCAATAAAACAACACAAACTAAAACATTTTGTTTTGCATAGATTGTTTCAGAAAGTGTGGGGAGGCATGACAATTTTTTATTTGACAAAATGGGGTACTATATAAAATGTGAATCGTTCCCTGATGAGAACTGGTTGAAGGAACAAGGTGACAATAAATGAAGAAAAGAAGAAACAGCCTGAGGGCGGGGGAGGGGAGAGAAAGGTTAGCCATCTTCAAGTTATTGCCACTTTTCTGCTGGGTTCCTACAGACAGAACCAGGAGGGCAGAAGGGAGTTGGCAAGGCCATCTGACCCAACCCAGCTAGCCCCCCAGCCTGTGAGGCTCCAGGGGCTGGGGCTTCTGGCTGGGAACTGTCCATCAGGCCTCTCTCTCTCTCTCTCTCTCTCTCTCTCTCTCTTTCTCCCCCCGCCCCACATCTCAGCCTCAGCCCAAGTGCTCACAATCTATATAAATTCTTTCCTAATTGTCAAAATGCTCAAAAGGATTGGTCGTGTGTCTCATCCACACTGGTCTGTGAAGATCACTAAGAGAATGGCAGCTCCTTGAGGGCTGGGACTATTGCATTCATGTCTCTGCCTTCCCAGCATTAGCAGATGTTGGAATGACTGAGATAATGCTGGAAAGATGCCAAGAGGTCCCGAAGGATGAGCCTGAGAAAAAGGCCATTCGATTTTGGACTGCAGTTTGGAGAAGACAGCTTCAGCCCGAGGGTGAGGTCGGAAGCCAGGCGTCTGGTGGAGGAGGGGAACACTCACATGGTTGGGAACAGCAGATAGGAAGAAATGGAAAATCAGAGAGAAATGGTGAGAGCGGGGCTTCTAGAAACGAAAAACGGGGGCACGAAGTGGCGTCTTCCAATTCAGCCTCAGATACTGCCAAGCTGCGTGACCCTGGGCAAGTCACTTAAGCTCTGTCGGTTTCAGCTCTCTCAATGGTAAAATGGGGGTTGTTGTAAGGATCAAATAAGATATTTGTGAAGTGCTTAGCACAGTGCCTGGCACACAGCAGGTGCCATATTGAGCTGGAAGACACTACACTCAGTCAACAATCATTTAAGCACTACGGCCGGGCCCTGAGCTAAGCACTGGGGATAACAATAGTGAAAGGCCCCCACCCCCACCCCGGAGCTCACACTCCAACAAGGGAGACAACGGGACTTTATGTGAAATGAACATGACAAAGGTAGTCTGGGGAGAGAGGGAAACCAAAGCAGCCTTTTTCGGGCAGAAGTCGGGCGTTGAAGGAAGCCCAGCATTCTCTGAGGCAGGCGTGCATTCCTGGCATGAGTGACGGGGCCTAGCTCTGGTTCCTCAGCGGCCAGTGGAGGAAATGGCCCCACAGAGGGGAAGGGCTTTGCCTCGAGCTCTACATCTAGTGCCCCTTCACAAAATCCTTTTCCTGGAAGCATTCCCTGGCTGAGGGCCTGGCATTCTTTCTAAAAGCCCCTGGTTCACTTGGCACTGAGTCTTCGCGAACCTGCCTGACCAGTTTTCTTGGGCTCCAGCATTCCTGGTCCCTAAGAGACCTCGTTCACTCAGCCAACTGCCCCGAATTTCCCCTGATCTCTGACATCTAGCCCTGAAAACTTCTTCATGGCAGACAGCTTCATTTTAAAGCTATGAACCTAATTAAGTACCCACTATATGCAGAGCACTGTGCTGGGAGTGGTAGAAGGCAGAGAAAAGAAGTCCCGTTCCCTGTCCTCATGGAACTTACAATTTAGTAGTTATAACACAGATACAAATAACTCTGAGGTCCTAACTATAGGATGATCGTTATGAGCGGGGGGAGGAATGGAATCAGGGAAGGTGGAAGCTACTGCAATAATCCAAGCAAGAAGAGATGAGTGTCTGGACTGGGGTGGTGGCTACGCGAGCACAGAGAAAGGGCTGGGCACCTCCCTGGACATGGGACAGGAGAGTGGAGGATGACTGAGGTTGTGGACATGTCTACAAAGCTGCAAAGATGGTACTGCCCTAGAGAGAAATCAAAAGGGGTAGGGAGCAGGTAGGTGACAAGCTCCATTTTGGACACGTTGAATCTGAGATGCTTATGAGCATCTCAACAAAACAAGAATTCCAAACAGTTGCAAATGTCTACTGGGCAGCTGGTGATTTAAGACTGCTGCTCAGCAGAGACCAAAGAGACAAGCTCAGGCATACGGGGAGGTGGAGGAGACCAGAGCAAACCCACAAGGTGCCCGGCCTACTAGGGAGGGTCTGTTCCTGCCCAATCCCCTCCAATGACAGCTGGGATCAAAGACAGAACTTTCTCATGAACTGTGGTCTAAAGAGGAAGGCTCCTTCCAAAGATGAACAGCCTGGCAATGTCCAGCCCTGCCGGCCTGGCTGCCCAGCACACAGAGAGCCACCAGGGAGGATGCACCGACTGAGGAATGGTGTGAGGGCCCAGGCCCAAGTGTGCTTGGGCCAAAGGAGGGCTTCTCTCAAAAGGTGTGCCCTGAAGGGGATCCAGCATGTGGCTAAGCTACTTTGTTCCTTCTTTTCCCTCGAAGCTGCAGGCCCAGATGGACAATTATGGGGAGGGGAGGGGGAGGGGAAGGGGAGAGAGAGAGAGAGAGAGAGAGAGAGAGAGAGAGAGAGAGAGAGAGAGAGAGAGAGAGAGAGAGGGAGGAGAGAGAGAGAGACAGAGACAGAGAGAGAGAGAGAAGCTTAAGGACTGGGCTCCCAAAGTAGAAAAGTCGAGGGAATTTAAGTCACCCAGAGAGGCCTGGAAGGAAATAAACCCTCTGTGGGGTCACAGAAGAGGACAATCACAGTACCCAGAGACACAGGACGAGAGATCCAGCTCATGCAAAGTCCTGACACTCGTCTGAACTGGCTTCAAAATCACATGTGATCACCTACCGAAATCCTCCACCCTCAAAGCACTTGTGTTTCTGTCAGTGTCATTCAATCTAGCAACAGGCGACCTGGGCGAATCCTGGAAATCAGCTACTCAGGCCTCAGCACAAGTTCCAACCTGCACCAGCTAAGAGCCTAGCACAGTGCCTGGCACATGGTAGCTACTACCTAAAGGTTGCTGGACAGATTGAAGGCAGAAGGCTTCTCTAACAAATATTTCCTGAAATAAAACCACAGGGCTCCCAACAATGACTTCCCATGCCTCTCTTTTCCCAGGCTTAGGCAAAGAGAGAGAGAAAGGCGCTATTAACACCCATGGAGACTGGCTGAAAGATCTTTTTGGGCAAGAACAGGAGGGTTTCTGGGAGACTTTCTGGCCAAAAAGGCTGGCTCCCTTCTGTGGGGTCAGGAATATACTGAAAGAAGAAAAATAAATCTAGCAACATGAAAAGCAATTACCGCTTTCATTGGGTTGCCTTCATCATCCTGCACCCCGAGGACAGAAGAGTTGTCTTGTCACTAGGCAACTAGCAACAAGTCCTCCCCACTCCCCAAACAGGTGGCCTCCAATGGACAAGGTCATCACCTTTCTCACGTGGCCGCCCACTTGGCCACTTAAACGCACCTCTTTTTAGAGAGCCATGAGCAGGAAGTTCTGTGGCCTCGTCCATGTTCTGGCTGCCCTGGGGCTCAGACTCAGTGAAATACGTGAACTGAAGCCTCAGAAGTAGAAGAGGGGCTACCAGGATTTCCCCTGAAATCAAACCAGCTTGCAAGGCCAGGACTTTGAACAGAGAAGTGCTGAGTACTGAACAATTCTAGAACCCAGAAACTCTCCCAGGACTGGGGTCACTAAAACGTTGAAGATGAGGAGACAGTGAGCAATCAGCAGGCCATGGGAGTCCACGTCCCTTTGGCCACTAGGGAATCAGGAGACCAGGTGGAAGCCAAGCACACAAGCTTTCCCCGTTTGTACGGCTTACCGGACATAGAGAGACCTCTTCTCACTGGTCCGAAGGGAGCCAGATCCGGAGCTCATGCTGCTGTTCATCATTTGTTCCCGCAAGTCGTGGATTTTGGATTCAAAGCGACTGTATTCTGGGGGGAGGGGGAAGAGAGAGAGAAGAGAATAATTAACCCAAGGCACCCTCGATTCCAGGGACACCCACCGGATCTTTGGAAAATAAACTCTAAAAGCAACTTCCACCAGCCCTGTCAGTCTTTGCTTGGGAGACAGAACCTGGGAAGATAGAAATTTCTCCACCCCAAGAGGAGGAAACCAACAGGGGGAAAGATTGTGCTTGAAAAATGGGCACCATTTGGACAAGCTGAGATAGAGAAGGCCTTCATTGGCCTTGAAATCTGATCCTTGAAGAAACAAACAACTGGAAGACCTAAAGAAAACAGACGGTAGAAGAGAGTCCCCCCCCCCAGTACAAAGTGGTGGTCTGAGGAAAGGCCTGAGGCCATGGCCTCCTCCTCAAGCCAGGCAGCAGAAGCCACCTGACAAAAGCGAAAAAGGGGTTACTCACTGAAGAGAAGGTTTCAACTTTAATGACCAAACTCATGCAGCCACTAAGGCCCTGCTGCTCCCTCCTCAGCCCCAACATCACCCTGAGTATCTGCTCAGAACGCTCGGGTCCCCTTGCCCATCCAGAAATACTGAAGAGCCCCCATTTCTCCTGGTAAGTCTAAAAGAAAGATATCTGATGTAAACCATGGTGGGGGAGGGGGTTATTATCACATGAGATTTTTTAGAAGTATCAATTTCACCTAGCGCATTTACACAGAGTTCATTTTTAATGAAAATTCTCTTCAAAGAAACACACCTACTATGTGAAACAAGGTGACTTGTATAACCCAGGCAGATAGAAATAAGAGAAAACCAGCCAATGGTCTCTCAAGTCTGCTTTTCAGAATGGAAGTCCTTGTTTTCAAACGAAGCCAAAAGACCCCGCCAGGGCTGATGCCACAGAGGATTGGCACTTGGCACTCCTACCTCATCAGTGGGTCATACAGGCAGAAACCCAAACACCTGTTCTGACACGTGACACTCCTTGTCTCAGCAGGGCACAGTGCCCTTCAGCCAAAGAAAAAGGTCAATGAAGGTGGAGAGAAGGGGTGGGGTGACCAGGCTGGCTTGTACAAGGTTGCAGCTTCTCCACGAAGTCTCGGTCTATTAACCATGAGCACAACAGGCCTAGCTTAGTCGCTTTCATTCACCAAAGCCTGCTACGTGTTCTGGTGATTTGTCTTCATTATATTACATCCTGAAGGAAGCAGGTAAGTCACTGACTCATCCTACAGATGAGAACAGAAACACAGTGCGGGACCCTCATCTCCACCTGTAAGTGCCAGTGCCCCGTCAAACCCTCTTAGCGGAATCCTCCCAGGCCTCACCTGAGGGTTTCAGCCCTGCCGCTGAACTGGAAGCCCTGTTAGCACATGCCTTAACATGCTCAGGGAGTCCAAGGCCTTTGAGTGAGGAGGGGCTTCCTAAGTGTCTGGTGAATTTCCAAAAGTCCCATGCCACATCAAAGCTGTGACTTCCTTTAGGAAGAAAGCATCTTGCCCAACAAGCCCCTCTCCTGCACCCACCACCCATTTTACAGAGGAGGAAACTAAGGCTCAGAGAAGAAAAGGAGTTCTGCCTGTGGACACAAAGCTAGCGAAGAGTCAAAGTCTTGGATTCACAGAATGTTTGAGCCTCCCTTCAAGGGATCTTGGAGATCATCTAGGACAAGGAACTCATTTTAATTATACGTTAGTTAGGCTAAGTATAAAGACTTACATTTGGGCTTGAACAATTACCCTCAGAGGTACAAGATAGGTGGGGCTGGGCTAGAGAACAGTTTGGCTGAAAAAGATCTTGGGGGTCCGAGTGGAGCCAGCAGTGAGAGATGGCAGCCAAAAGCTATGGGCTGCATTAGGAAGAAGGAGGTGAGGAGCCCAATGCACTCTGGCCCTCTCTCCCAGCCCAACCACACCTGGAGTATTCTTGGCCAGTCTGGGTACCACAACTTGGGGAGAAAAAGTGGAGAGAATCCAGAGGAGGGGAACCTTGAGTCCATGTCAGAAGAGCCGCCTGAAGGAACAGGAGGCCATGAGAGCTGGGGGACACCCCCTCCATGGCACCGACTCTAAAAGTCTATGATTTGTGACATCATTTGTGGCTCCCCTGTACCCCACCACACCCATCCACCAGAAGCAAACCCTTCCCTGGTTAAACAAACAACCAAAAAAGTCAAAACTCCTTTGTTTTACAGATAAGAAGACAGAGGTCTTAGGATGGGAAATGACTTGGCAGGGGTCATGTGGCGTCAGAATCAACATTCATTTTCCCTCTGGTTTGATCGCTGACCGACCAAGGGCCAGGGTACCCGTCTGCCCCGAGTTTCCAGAAAGCTGGATTGTGAGCCTCAGCCCCAAGCTCCAGGGAAATGGTGGCTTGGGTGGGTGTGGGGGGGTATTTTTTATTTTGAAGAGACCTAGTTACTAAGCAACTGCTGTGGCCTGGCTGCTCATGGGAGTGGAATGGGAAGAGTTGGAAAAGAACAAGCACATCCTTTCTGGGTTTCCCGCATTCCTCATCGTGGGGGCTCCAACATATTCAGGTGTCATGTCACTGGCACCTCCCAACAGCCCTGGGAGGTCCGTTTTACAGATCTAGAAACTGAGGCCCAGAGAGGTGAAGGTCTGGGTCATCCAGCATCTTAGGAGGGCCAAGGCAGCTTCGAGACCCAAGAGGACCAAGACCCAGATGCGGGTCCCAGCACCACAATTTTATAAGTCAGGTGAACCTCTGTTTTCTTATCTGGAAATTTCTAGGGCTAGTCCTAAATCCTATGCACCTGTGTATATAAGGAAGGAAAGAAGGAAGGAAGCATTTATTAAGCACCACTGTGTGCTAGGCACTGTGCTAAATGTTTTTCTACAAATAGGATCTCCTTTGATCCTCGCAACAACCCTGCTGCTATTAGCCCCATTTTACAACTGAGGTAACAGAGGCAGAGAGGGGTTCAGTGACTTGCCCAGGGTCATACAGCTAGGCAGTGTCTGAGGCCCAGCACTCCCTCCACTGTAGTGCCCTGTAGAAGCCACATAAAAAGAACTCGCCCTTCTGCTTGAGCACAGAGACTGCTCTCAAAGGTCGAAGGAATGCTCAGCAAATCGGAAGAGTCCATCCGTCTCTTGACGCTTCTGTTGGTATCTCTGACACCTGGCGGCACTTCTGTGATGTTTGTTCGTGGGGGGTGGGGGGTGCTCAGCTAATCGACAGAGAACTTCCCTGGCCAATTCCAGCTGGACACAAACATCTAGCTAAGCTGTGAGCTCACTGGAAAATCACGGGGGGCAGCTTTCTGATGGAGGAAATGTCTAAGTGACAACCCAGAAGAGATCTGAGGTCACACAAGCAGTCCATGAGAGCCCTGCAAAATACACTGCTCCCAGGGTCCCTCCCTCCCCCTCTCCAGTTTCTAACAAAGACAGTGACAAGATTAGTCGGGGGGGGGGGGGGAAATCACCGGAAGCAGGGCCTGGCAAGGTCAGAGGGACTCCTACTATGTGCCAGGCACGGGGCCAAACTGGGAATCCAAGGAAGTTTCCAGTCTGATGGAGGGCAGGGACATACATACAAACAAGATCCCGAGAGGACAAAGTGGGGGGAATGTCAGAAGGAAGATGATGAGAAACAGCAAAGGGGGATTTGAGGCGGGACTTGAAGGAAGGCAGCACAGCAGGAGGCAGAGATGAGGAGGAAATGCTGGGGGAGGCCTACTGGGGAGGCTGGGGTCACGGGATCTGAGCCCACAGGAGAAGGCTGGGGAGGAGGGCATGAGCACACTGGTAAGGTAGGAGGAAGAAAGACCGCCAAACCTCCCCCCCCACGGTGGGGCCTCCCCGGAGGCCCACAGAGGGTGCAAAGTCTTCTCCATCCCATGAGCTCACTCTAGTTCACAAGCGACCCTCCCTCCATCCCTCCTCTGTCCCCCAACTCCTGCTCCTCTCCTTCCATTGGCAAACACACACAAGGCTCTCCCCCAGGTAGGAAAAAAAAGACCCCCGATTTGTATCTGTTCACAGTTGAGCTTCTCCAATGAGCAGGGACCTGCCACTTCCTCCTTCCTTCTCTGCATTCTAGCTTCCCGGGCTTGCGCGTGCCTTTCCTTCGACACTGCAGGTCACTCCTTCCTCTGGGGTCTGTGACACCCTGTTCTTAGATCCCCTTACATGGCTTCCTCCTCCTCAAACACTTCCTTTCCTCCCACTGACCTGGCCATCCCCCTGAGGCTCTGTCCCTCTCTACTCCCTCCCTCAGAGCATTCATCCACTCATGACTCCCAAATCAATCTCCCAGCCTCAGTGGTCTCCACAATCACACAGGGTAATGATAGTGCCAGGACTGCCTACCTTACCAGGCTGCTGGGAAGCTTGGGGTACAGCACCTTACACAAACGGTGGTGGTTCTTCTCCTCATTTAGCTGTGGCCACCACCTCCAGCTTTACACCCACACCTCCAAACCACGCTCAACTCCCCCCAAACACACTGTTCCCCAATTCCCTCCTGGTTCTCAACTGCAGCCCCACACCGAGCCGAGCTCACAAGCAGTCCAGCTTCCTCCACCATCTCTCAGATTCGCCTCCTTCCAGCCAAGCTGAGGCCTGGATTACTTGAGCATTTATTTAGCTAGTCTCCCCCCCCCATCTTTATACCCATTAGAATAATGCCTTCTTCCATCACTTTGCTGCCTCAACCTGGTCTTCACGGCCTTCCTTCCTTCCCCCCCACCCCAGCTCACTTCAAGTCACCTCCCATTGCTTCACAAAACTTAACCATGCCAACTGCTCCATCTCCACCCTGAGTGCCCTCCTGCCTTCCTCTGTGCCAACCCATGCCCCTTACCTCATCTCAAACTCAGCTCCAAATCCCCGTGGCCTAGGCCGATTTCTACAAGTGGTGGCACCCGACTCTGCTCGTGCCTTGTGTACTGGCAAACAAAGGAGCCTCACACAGCAGATAATCTGCGCTGCCATCATTCAGCCCCATGGGGGGGGGGGCCTTGGTTGTCAGATGAGTGGTGGAAGCCTTACTTCCT